AATATTTTTCATGCAGGGAGGAATGAAAATGAAACAAGAAGCCACAAAAGGGGATGGATCATTAGAGGAATCAAACCAGCCCTCATACAAAGAGTATGAGGAAGAATCTACAGTGGTTTTCAGGGTATGCCTTTTTCAATTGTATTTTCATACAATTCATTGATAAATCTGGTGGTAGCTATTCCTACTGCAGATTCATGTAACACTTGTCATGGGACACATTAATGAATATGCAAGAAGGTGCTTTTAAAATGTCACTGATTAGTGTCTGGGTAGTTTTTCTTCTCCTGCTCAGATTAAAGAATTGAGGGGGGGGGGGGAGGAGCACAATAGGTTAAATTTAGTTGACCACTGTATGCATATAGACCCTAATAGTAGTTAGTCTTGTTTGCTGATCTTTTCATAATATTTACCATGAATTTTGGCCTTAAAGCTAATGCTCTGGTAATTTTCAATGACAGCTTTTGCATTTTTTTTAATACAGTGGAGCCTCCATTAGCAAACACTCTGTAAACAGAAACTTTTCAACAACAGACAGATTTTTTGTCCCAAATGGTTATAATGTTTTTAAAAGAAACATATACCAGCAAACTATACTGGCCCGAACAATGTCTTTTTATTGAGGCTTTGAGAAGGAATTTTCAGTTAGCAAATGAGAATCTGTAATGTATCAAGCTAGAAATTGACCTGAATGATTTTGTAGGATGCAGATTTAGGAAGGTGTTAGTCTGCACAGAATTCATTTAAGTCATATTTGAGGATAGACAAGGCATTGTTTGTTCTAGGCAGGTATCTTGGTGTCACCCTATTATGGTCATTCAAACAAAGGTTGTTTATTTTCAATTTAGTAAAACCACAAAGTACCCATTAAAATATCAATAGCTCAGCAGTATGATTGGCATGCAATAAAATAATTTTCATCAAGCCAATTTCTTTGAAACTTGAAAATTGGATATCACTTTGCAGAATTGTTCTCCTTCAACATATATATAATACATAGATTGTTATAGACGGTTTGCATCTGTTACAATTCTGTGCCTTCATAGACAAAGAGAGATGATTCTATTCCATTTACCAAACGATCTTCTACCCTACCTGCTGGTTGGCAAAAACTGACTGATAACCTCTCTGGAAGACAATATTATTACAATGAGGATACAAAGGAATCACAATGGAAGCTCCCAAGAGTCTCACTATACCTGGAGACTCCACAGAACAAGGTTTGTCTTTTTCACAGATATCCACATTAATGAGACTACCACATACTCTAAGATTTTTTGTAACATACTAAGTAAGAGGGAGGAGGGATTGCCCTTCCACTCCCTGCGACATTTTGTTGTCTGAAAATAAAAGCTAGAGCCCTCACCTAGGACCCTTTGCTATCTAGAAAGGGCTACCAAGTGTTTCTCCACTCCAGGTAAAGCATATTGAATTATTATTATCTTCAAAATAGCCATCTTTTCTTATCTTTTGTTGGCCTTGGCAGGATAGGGCTTTTAGTTAAGCAATTGTGTGCACAGTCTGACTGGATCGAATATCAGTGTCAGAAGAAGAACAATACTTCTATCACTGCCTATCCAGTACTACGCAATAATTGAAGTTAAAAAAAGTCTAGCAGCTGTTGTCAGAGATGCAGTCCCCCATTTCTACTTTTTTCTGTTGTCCCTAGATATCATTCAATCCCAGAGCTAAATTCCTCAAGAAGGGCAGGACTGCACTTGCACAATCATGCATTTGAATTCCCTCTTGATACAGAACAAAACTTAATCTGCCAATCCAGATTTTTTCATTGTCTTGGAAACATCAAGTGATCCCAATAAAAACCACGAGATACAAAGCAAGGTGTCTGGTTTCATATTTAGTGACATTTGTTGGAACCAATATGAACTTCCTACTTTGTGTAATCAAGTTTGTCTATATGTGTCTATATGCTATTGCTATCTTAACAAAGTCCTTGTATTTACATGGAGTTGATGAAATGTCTGGATGTTATTTTACAGGTATACGTAGCGATTGGTTTTATTTCAATTCGTGCATTTTTGTTCCTTTGTTTTTCCGTAGCAAGCCTCATTTGTATTTCCGACTTTGTTTTCCTATCTGATTAACAGTTGACTTCTCGTGTTTTATGTTGTGCGGTATTCATCTTGATGCAAATTCGCGAGTCAAAGGAATTTATGCAATTCGGACTTACTTTGAATAGCATATTGTCATACGTTGTCAACTTAAATGTTGTCAAAACTTGTAAAAATTTCCTTTCTTGTGCATTCCTTTCTATATATCCTTATTTGTGCATCTGAATTGTTCATTAAATTTGACAATCAACCAACTGTGCACTGGTAACAAACCGTATGGTGATTCATTTTTGTGATCACCGACAGGTAAGATGAGTTTTAGGACCCCAGGATCTTTCTTTACATGAGTAGCATTGTAATGATAGTAATCAAACTATAGAAGATAGAATATGATACGTACGTTGCATGTGGTACTTAATTCAGAAAACGGTAATATAGTGGGCGAATAAATTTAGTACCAGAATCAAATAAATTAGTTTTGATAATCAAAAACACGATGTTTCAAGCTTGTACTCTTTGTCATGTACTGTTGGTCTTGATAACGATACATGCTTGAAACATCCTGTTTTTAACTATCAAAACTAATTTATTTGATTCTGGCATTCCATTTATTCGCTCACTTTGTTATCGTTTTAAAGAAGATAGACCCGTCCTAAGGACTTTAGGACGAAGTCCTGGGTAAGTCTGCTGATGCAAACGACTGAAATAAAGCTGAGTAGCCTGCTTATTTAATGACATGTTTTAGAGTCCAAATCAACTATGGACTAAATCAACTATGGACTAAATCAACTATGGATTAAATCTATTTTAACCAAGCTTGCCTGGCTTTGGTTTGGCACAAGTTCGTTGTTTTTTGTCTTGATTTAATTTCTTTAGACTGAGAAACAAGATCTTCACGATGCCTGCACAAGCGAGAACTGCGTTCTCAACCAATGGCATTTCTAATCATTTTGTTAATGAACTTCATATTAAATAATTTTTACAGTTCAGATTTGAAAATGCTTGGAAAATAGCGATTATTTTAAAACACGCCTAATCTTTTCCCTTGGCACTCCTTGAAGCATAAAGAATCAGGGTGTTGATCGGCAACTTTTAGATAGGAAATATATAAAACCAGTTGTGGACTGAAGTAAGCCATGGATGAAAAGGTTGCCCGATCAGTGCCGTTGGCCTATAAAGATATTACAAATTAAGTGCCAGGGTGAAAATGAACTGTTCTGTTTTTACAAAAGCAGGTTTTCATTTTTTGAAATGGATTCTAAAACTGCTAGATGAAACGCCGGCCCTGCCAGATCTTCATAGTTAGATAATATTTGAAGATAGATGTTCCAAATCCTTTCTTGATTTAAGTTCCTCAGTCTAATAATATAACTTCCAGGTTCGCAAAGGCTATAAAACTAGGTGTGGCTATGGCAGTAAGTGGCCTTGCCTTACACAGGCAAAAAACGGTGTACTGAATATTGGCTTTTATATACAGCCTGAGTTTGAGTCAGCTTGTCAGGAAAATTTACTGAACTGATTGATTTTCGTCTAATTTGCGTTGTCAATATTTGAATCGCTGTTTCCAACAAGATACAACTTTGGCAACACTGTCAAAGAGCTTTTGTTTACGTTTCGGTCTTGTGTAGTGTTGTCTCTCAGTTTTGTTATCTGTTTTGTAAATTGATGATTCTTTTTGCCATGGTAGCCCTCAGGCCTCTTGACTTATCGTTGTCTGTTGTGTACATTTTGTTATATCTTTTATCCGGGTCTATAAGTACCTCCTAGCTGCAGCTAGTTCTACAGGCTTATAGTATTTTATATACAAGCGTATAAAAACTTTGACTTTCATCCCAGTACCAGAATGCGAGGGAAAACAATATCTTGCAATTTTTTATTGGCACCAATGCATCAAGGTTTTATTGGTATAAGTGGAGCAAAGACTAGCATTCGGGGAAGTAATTGTAACGAGAGCTAAACTGTTTACAGCGACATCCGGGTATCCAGACATTAGTCTTCATATTCTTAAAGAAGCTCTAATTTTCAGGCTGCTATATAAAGTATGTTGGAGTAATTCGTAAAACGGTACATTCAGGGGTGTAGTGCTAGGGGGCTGAGCCACCTCTTGTTAATGCCAAAAATTGGCAAATTTGTACTTTTGCTATTGCTTTTGTATCATTTGGTACAAGAGTTCCCCTTCTTATTTTGATAGCACTACACCACTGGGTACGTCGCATCAATGCAATTACTTTTTCTAGGATACGTTTTCAGTAATACTTGATACTTTCATTGCAGGATATACCTCCAGGTTGGACTACAGAGAAAGATGAATCAAACGAAGATGTTTTTGTTAACAGTGTCAGTGATGAAAAGGTATACCTGTAAAACTATCACTTGTAGCATAACAGTTTGTTAGATGATGTAAACATTTTCTCATTTTAGCCTAAGTTTGTTAATATTGAAATGGCATTATTTAATAATTTAACCAAAGCAGGCATAGTTAGAGGTAGGGAGTCAGAAGGGTTTGACCATCAAAGAGCCCTTTTTAGAGGAGAAGACCAGAAAATCTTAAATAAGTATGATTTGTGGAACTTGACTAGAAATGAATTATAAATATTTATCTTCTGTTTTTTATGTTGTTATGTTTTGTCCAAATTTATGAAAAATAATGACGCGTATTGATTTTGTCAGAAAATAAAAAATTTCGCCCCTCCTAAGAATTTCTTATTTACTCCACTAAAGCAAACAAAGTGTTCACGGATCAATTTAAATATCCTTCGTAGCCTGCAAGGTAGTTTCGTATTCCCCCCAGTTGCATTGAAAGATTATTTTTGTACGTTCCATAGCTACTTTAATGATATTTGAGTTTGCCACGAATTTTGCCATATTAAGTTTTGCAATATTTGATTTTGCCATACTGAGCTTTGCGATATTGTATTTTGCTATCTTCTAGCTTCTTTTCAGCCATTTGGAAAATAATTTAGAACTTCACTGATTTAAATTTTTTATATCATTTTAACACGTAGTGGAAGGCGTGCAAAACTGAAAATGGCAACACATACTATTATAAAGTGGGGGAAGACGTGACAGCATGGAAGCTTCCAGATGTGAGTGCAGAGTTCATCCTTCTTTTAATTGTTAAACATGTTTACTGACTGATGAACTGATGATTTACTGAATTCTCAATCCTGATTTGGTTTTATCTTGTGGATTTGAAAAGCCCTCAGACACATACTACTGTTGATTGGTAGAACTATATATGTCAAAGAAGCAATTTAACAAATGATTCAACCGCCTAGTTGAATTTGCTTTCTTTATAACTTAATGATAACTTAATGGCTGTGTTATGATACTTTCAGTTGTTCAATCCCCTTTTTGTTCTGTAGTTTATCCCTCATGTCATCATAACCAATTCTTGCCATGCTGTTAATTGTGCGTCATATGTTCTCTGTTATTCTTTTTCTGTAAAAAATTCAGAAAAAATCTTTTGCCCATTTCTGACTTTTAGTTATGTAAAGCATTTTTAAAGTCATGGAATCGCTGTTATTAATTTCTTCTAGAAACGATCCATTATCTGTCGTTTAAGCAAACTGGATATTTTTTCTTCAATCAACTAAAAATTGGGTTTGTCAATATAATGACAAAAGCACTGTGGAAACAATTAAAGTTTTAGCATTTCTACAGTAAAATAAGAGCCTACGAATTTTAGTACGTATCTTTCTTGGATCAAGTTGCTTGTCTTGTGACATTTTTCAGTTTTTTGTTCTAAAGCGCATTGCCTCTTGAACCACTTACAGCACGAAACAGCCCTGTTGCTTGACATCATCAACCAAGATCATGAGGGAAAACATTTTTAGATAAGAAACGATTGTAAGAATATTAATCCTGCAATTCCCATATGCACCTCGAAAACAATACCATAAAAAACCAGACTCGTTAGAGGCGGCTCAACTTTTCCAAGGAGATTCTGTTGTACTTCAATCGATTCTGATAAACGATAAATCAAGGATATATTCAGAATTGTTCACTTTTACTTTAACAGATTGAAGTAAAGGCACGCGGTCCAAGAAGAAGGTCCTTTGATGGCCTCGCCGACGACAAACTCAGCAGCAGGATGTCCAGTACCTTCCCTAGAAACTCAAAATGCAAGTCGGTTTTGTTCGATTTTCCCATCAGTAATGCTAAATCGCAAGAAGATATCAAAGTTCCTGCTCCCAAGCCCTCGGTAAAAGTAAGTTAACCTATCAATATTATATTTGCTATTATTACGATCAATATATTGTATATGAGTCGCCTGTTAAATTCTTTTTAACGATTGCTTTTTCACGATAGCTCTATGTACCACTAGATATATTAAAGTAATGGTTATCACATACAACTAAAATATGTGAAAGCACGAAATTTCTTTTTACAAATGTGAGTTAAACAGAATATTTACTCAGTTGCGGATCGAAATAGGCAAATCTACAATACAAGCGAATGACAACCGTGTTTACCAAATCAGTGCCGCCTATTTTTAATTTTCACAAGATAACTTCTTGGGGTGGGGAACGCGGGTAGGCCCCACACCAAGTTCGAAAGAATAGCTCGAAGCATAAAAATGTTCAAGCATAAAAATGTCAATCAAGATTGAGGTACTGGAAGTCAAACGTCGGGGGGTATCTCAATGACTTTGCAGTTTCTTGACACCGCTTGCCAATAGAAAATATTGTTAATAGATTCTATGGATGAAAATTTCAATTTCATTTTTCATTTCAAATTCCCAGCGATTTTAATTTAAAGCTAAAGATGTTTACTTTACAAAATTATAGCACAACAAAAAACTAATTGATAAATTGAACATGAATTCAAGAAGGCTTTTGAGCCATGTGCCCTTAGTGACGTATTCATTAACACAATAAAAATATTATATGGGTTTTGATATGAAATGACAACATGCTCCTTCTGTCTACGTATTAGCAGTTTTCTTTTTTTACGTATACGGATTGTAAAACTGCTAGATGCAACGAGGGGATCTGCCAATTATCTGAAACATGGTGCATGTATAAATGTTGACACATGGTGTTGACACAATCTTGATTTCCTAGGTAATAGTTACCCAATGGCAGCATCACAAGTTTTAGGTGTTAGTTTTAAACATGCTAGACCTAGCAGGCTATTCTTTTTTCAGAGGCTTTCGATCATAAAAAGCGAGAGGCAAAGACAATGCACTCAAAAAATTTTGTGTACTATTTTTTACATTTAAAACTAGCTCTTTAACTAGTTAGAAACGGTCGCTATAATACCATATATGTAAACACGTGAACAGAATGGTAAAACGTCAGATGACATGTGATTATAAACACGTGTCCTATTAAACTTAGGGGGGAGGGGTTGTCTCTAATGTTGAGCATGCGTCCTACGTTGTCAGAACCACACTGGCACGCATTTCTTTTCGATAGATGGAAGGGCTTGCCATGTAAAGAATACAAGAGTAGGCTGCAAAGAAACGTTTTGTAATTATTGAAAAACTTTTTTCGTTAGCGTATAATGAAATAACATCCTTTGGATAGCCGTTGGCTAGAAAAATATTTTCAATTGATCTAGTCTTGAATCGATTTTAGACTTAAAGGAAATTATGAATGCCCTGGCTATTGATGTTTTGGTTATGTTTACTTTTCGCTGTTTTAGACCATTGAAGTAGTTTTACGATTTGCAATATTAAGAAATCCAGTGCCAGACTTTTCAATGAAAACATCGAGATATCTTGTTTTCTTCCTTATCAAAAGAGGATTGAAGGGATGGATGAAGGCTATTAAGGCCGTTTAGAAAATTATCACACTCAGCCTGTGTTTTGAATATAATATGTGTCATCAACATTTCAGAAATAGATACCTGGCTTTTGGTCGCAGTCGAACAAACGATCTTCATGAAAGCCAACAAATTTAATTTGTTTGCGAAAACCGACCCCAAAGGGATACCCATAGCAACACCAATCTTTTTTCGGTACCTTTCATGGTTAAAAATAAAAACAACCGAACGAGTCACAGTCTCTTGTCAGTTCAATGAAAATCTCCTCTGGGAATGGAGGGCACTTGATTTCGCCCCTGCTCAAAGCATCGGCATCTTTCTTAATGGTCTGGCATGAAGGGACGGTCATGAAAAAACATATCTAAAAACATGAAAGGTGTTTTTCTGTCACTTTTGGGATTCTGCATGTACTCGTTAATCCAATGTCTTTAAAAGCTGGGTCCAAAATTTCAAAAAGGCACCTAGCCAATTCGAGATGTGGTGAGCAAATCATATACAAGATGGGTCTTTTAGGAACCTATATACTTGCGGTCACTCTGAGCCCGTGAGTCTTATCCGATCGTCAATTGCTGTTGTCAACATTTTAAACTAAAGCAGTGTTTAAACTACAACTTTTAACTTAGGTTGAACCTGGGTTAGAAATTTTTAGTGTGAATGCAAACCTTAATTGAACCAAAGCAAAGTATTTTGGCAGACCAGGAGGGAAATCCCTGCCTTGAAAATTTCATTCCCCATAACAAATTCTCATCACTGTCCCCGTTTTTTTCAAAGTAGTAAATGTGCGCCATTCACAACTTTGCGTTAACAGTACCCAATTTTGTTTCGACACTACCCAATTTTACGAATTTTTCTTTTTCAAGGAGAATTTTCTCCATTTTCTGGATGTAGCCTGTCTCCAATTATGAGTTTCAATGCCAGTGCGACCCTGGCTATAGAGGACACACAATGAAAGATTTTGGATGATTCCTGCTAGTAGCTTTCGAATAGTAGTAATATTTTCTAAAGGTATGCACCGTTGATCGACCTTTTTCGATCCAAAACTAGGTATATATTCCATAGCTTAACATTTTCGATAACTATTCTGACGTTTTTATTCTCTGAAGCGTCAGTATAAAAGCTTTCTCGGTACATTTCAAAATATTTCTTTTAATTTTGCTTGCTCCAAAGTATTCGGCCAAGGGCACTTTTACATTTTCAACTCGTTTGTTTTTCTACCCACTGTGCAAATTACTGAACCACCCCTAAACCAGAATGAAGGTTTTTTTATTTTGTTTTCTTCCACTTAAGATTCTCCTTTACTCACTTTGCAAATGCTTCAATCATGTTTTTTTAGCTGCACAGACGATCGCAATCTGCGTCCATGTTGCTAGAGGATGATGATATACCAAGCGTTAGAGTCTCGATGGTCAATGGAAAGGTATTTAAGTGATTTTCTTATTCATCCTATCAAATTTTTCATAGCATACTGTTGTAGGATAGAACCTAGCCTAGAGCTTCTTATCATCATGACCCACCATTTTCAATCATCAATCAACATAGACATCTTAATCAAAAATCAAGATCATTTATCATGATAATGATTATGATCATTCATCAATCATCATCATCAACGTAATCAATATCACAATCGTCGATCATAGTATTTCATTCACAATGATTTATAGCACTTCGAATAGTCCCGTTTTATAATCCGTGTAATCAACACAATTTCATACATATTTTTTACAATTCTTTTATCGCTAGAATTATTTGAATTGAAAGTCATAATCATAAACTAGTCTTAATAATAATACATGATTGGCTAAATGCTAATCATGGTTGAAATTATTATTGATGGTCTAATAACTCTCTCTTTCTAACCAATTACAGGCTGTGAAGATTCCAGATGTCGAGGGCTACTTGGCACGTAAGAAATTAGTTGAAGGTGGCAAATCAAAGTACGTTTTTGGATTTAGAAGTTTAAGCTTTAATTGGATATTCCGTTCATTTCTAAGTAAAAACTAGGACCTTTGCCAAACAATTGAATAAAAGCTTTTCTTTTATAACATAAATTTTACAGTAGGCCTTTCCAATAGTTACAGAATCGTTTTAGTGGGGAAGAATTTTTCTCTCTTACGAACAAATTGCCAAAACTGCAGAATGAAATGATAGCTAGCTCTAAGTATTTACTCTTGTTATATAAGATAGCTCGCTCTATCTATAGCTGTAAGGATGGGGAAACTTCATGGGAATTTTTAACGCTTCAGAAAATTATAAGACCATATTTTCTGACTCAAAATGTAGAGTAGAGCGACGAGCCTTTGACGCAGGAAAAGGAATTTTAGCTTCCAATCTTTAAAAAATTTGTGGGTATTTACCTTTTTAGTATAAGTCTCGGCATATTTGAGTCCCCTGCCCGTAAATATCAAGATGGTAACTCTTACTGATTTATCCACCATCCACTCGTTACTGTTTTGTAACAACTACATTCTGATTTTACCACCGTCTTACCATTTAAGTCCTCCCAACATATTTGTTGCTCTCAATTTTGTCATGTTGCTCGTGAACTCAAATTTGCACCACTTCTCTTTAGGAAAGGCCATTGGGAGCAAGTGTACGTCTGCAAATATGAAAACATCCTCGTTTTCTACAAAGACAAAAAGTCTTCAATACCGGTAAATCCTGCATACCGTTTTACGATTCATTTACTGTCACAGCTTCGTTTTTAGAAATTTCAAAACCCACTTGTTTTTCAGGTACTTTTTTGCTTTTTCGAACTGTTTTTACAGATTTACAAATTACCTGCCAAATAGCTTTAAATCAATTAAAGAAAATATGTTTGCAAATCCATTTGCCTCTAAATCAACCGTCATTTTGTTATGAAAGCTGCTATGATTATTTGAATAGATATCGTACGTCTCTTGTGCACTTTTAAGATAGATATTCAGTGAAAACGGGGTCCAAAATTGTAAGATGCGTGCAATAGGCAATAATAGAAAACGCAATGGTCTATCTTTCTTTGCGTTTTATCGATGTTAATTCATGTCGCTGGTTTATTGCACCCTTATCTTTTGTTTCTTGAAAAGAGAGATATTAATATAAATCAGTTGTCATTGTCTTAATGCATGGTGTTCTTCTCGTTTGATCACAATTAGAAACCAGATTTCCCGGATGGAAAGCCAGAGAGCAGTATTGATTTGCGTGGCGCGGTCCTTCAGGCGCCTAGCATCGATAAGACCAAAGGAAAAAAGAATGTGTTTCAGGTTCGTAAGCTTGTGTCCAGTTGTTTTTGCTTCATCGACATATGCTAAAGTGGCTTAAACCATTTGTCAGTCAGCTTTTGGCCCTGAGTAATATCACGCCTATTAATTGGTCAATTGTTGATTGACATATAGCTTGAGACCCTGTTTACACGTTGAAAATGGGACCGAACCAGTTTAGGATCGATCTGGTTTGGGATTTCGCAGATGTTTACACAGGATCGATCCCAAAATATAGTGTGTATACAGGGGATCGATCCCAGATCGGACCGCACTGCTTTCTAGGCCCTTTTGAAAGGAATTCTCATGCGTACTGCTTATGCCATCAAAAGCACCAAGAAATTACTGCCAAATTGTTAGGAAGACTGACAAGAAAATGGCTTCGAATTTGAAAGGTAGCAAGTTTATTTCGGGCGTTTAAACGAGACGGGATCGATCCTTAACTGGAACGCTCTCCAAAGTGTACTGTTGTACACGAGATCAGATCAATCCCGAGCGTTCCCGTGTAAACAGAAGGCTGATCCGTACCAGTTTGGGATCCCGGCCTGGATCGATCTCGTGTAAACGGGGTCCATGCCACTTGAGTATCTAATCAGTTATCCTTCTATTTCCATTCGGGTTAAGGAACCACATCCTAGTATATTGATAACCGATGCTCAGATTCTAAGTCTTTCTCACTCTCTAAAATGGTCACTTCTTCGTGTCCAGAAACCGGTCACACTGTTGTTGAGATCAGTAGGTCGCTTGTTTGAACTTTTAAAGATAATCGGAAGATGTTTCTTGGGTGTCTTAAAAACTTGAAAGTCCATTTTTTTCAATAGTAAAAGAGCTGTATATAACTAAGGACTAAATTGAATGGAAAGTCTAGAAACAAAAAGAAATTGCTTGTATGATTCGATAGATTTTACAGATGTTGCGATCGCTACTTCAATTCACGTTGATTCATTTTAAGCGGGAACTTTTTTCGATTTGATATTCCAAGTTCTATTTAGTTTCTCTTCAGGTATGTAAACTGTGGAAGTTATCTGGCAGAATACCATTGTATCTTGCTCGCCTGTTGATGAAAAACGCCGACAAATAGCTTTATTGTTGTTTTTTAACAGATAAGTACTTACAATAATTCAACGGTAATGATGCTCATGGCCGATACTCCGACTGCAATGGGAAACTGGCTCACGCCAATGCAGTTAACGATAAAAGATCTTGTAAGTTGTCAGATTCAACGTATTCTTATTGAATATTTTTGCTGGCTACTTGTCTTAAAGTCGTTGTTCCTGTTTCGTGTCAGACAAAAAGCTTTAGCTTTAGAAATATGTTTCAAAATATTTGCTTTTTTCAAAGCCATTTTTAAAAGGTTAGATCCAAATCTTCACAAAAGTACATAGCTGCATAGCTATGTATATTAAAAATTTAAAATAAGCCAACACTGAGTGGCTATTCAATCCAGTATATATGTCGATATATTCAAGCTTAAACATGTAAAGTTTCATATACACATAAATAAAATTTTAAGACAGAATTTTGATCGTAGTATTTTAAACAAAGCCGAGCTGTTGTATGAAAGTGCGCCTATGTTGTTGTGGTAAATAAATCCTACATAATCTGCATGTATCGCATGCCAATTTTAAATCTTTAGACCATCGTCTATTTTAGTTGATTCAATACTCCAAGCCTTACCAATTTCAAAGCAGTTTTACTGATACAAGCTCTAATTTTTTTCACAACGATTGTTGTAAAACAATCTTTTTTTGCATGGTGAAAGTGACATTCTCTCTCTCTTTTTCATCAGGAGGAGCAAACACCTTTACCAACGGTGCCGCCACCGATCATTACAGATGGCGGCAAGAAACTGGCTGTTAATACCAGTAGCTCTGTAAGTGGACCCTTGTCGCCGACAACGCCAACCATGCAGCGTAATAATAAGGTGGATAAAGCAGACAAGCCTTTTAAAGGAATTGGTCGCAGATTATCTAAAAGACGTAAGTTTTCTTGTTTATCATACTATAATCTCCACTGACCAGCTTATGGAAGCAAATCGAAGATATTTTTGTCTCTATATTTTTTCCTGCGGTAAAGTCCTGGCACAAGTCACAGACAACGATCGTTCCCTGCAAACGGCCTCCCTCTATTGATGTTTACTGTAGCTTGTCCGATTTTATTAGATAATGATGAAATGATATCCAGTCTGCATAATGACATGCCTTCATTTTTCTACCATACTATCAGCTTTTTAGAAACATTTTTAAATCCATACATAACCCAATATATTATTTTCTATGCACCACTATCCAACAGTAAATCAATAATGCAACTAGCAGTTTCTTTCAATGGGATTTTAGTTAATAGGTTGGATACATAAAAGCGTACTATTATGGGGAAATTTCTAGATTTATAATTAGACATATCCTTAGCAAATCAAAATATGCTTTAAGTCTAGAAATGTGTACACCCATCACAATGGTAAGTTTTGATGTAACCAGCTTATTCATTATTGGCAGGCAGCTCTGACTTTCGATTGCTTTATTGCGACATTCTTTATGTGAAAAAGCAAAGAAGGCAAGAAAGCCTGTAAGTCAGGCGGAAGATCAAACCTATAATTAATGCTTTAGTGCCTGAAAATATATGGTAAGAGGCTCCTCTTGGCTGGATGGGGGGAAGGGGCGTTGTAAGTAAGGGAGAAATGCTGATTTGATGAGGAGAAAGCAGCTGATTTTATCCATGTACTGAGAATAGTCTTTGTTCACGAAATAAAAGAAAATTTTTTAACTTGCTAGCTCGTTGCTGAATGTCCATAGAGTTATAGTGGCTCCTTTTTATCTCCAACAGCAAGCAATGTAAATGAAGATGAGGTAAACAAATCAAAGATAAGAGACAAGTTGAAAAAGTTTCTACCCAAACGACCAACGTATTATGAATTAGAGAAAAAAGGAATTATCAAGCGTAAGTTTATGTTCAGTTTTCACTGACATGGCAATGTCTTCTGTAGATGTGGGTATGATGTAGTATAAGAATTGAAATTTAGATGAGGAATGAAGCTGTAAGTGAGGGAACCAGATTTTCATGGTACGAATTTCAATCCCTTTTTTAAAATATTTTTGACAATTTTTTTCGATATGAAGTTTATTTTGCCTATGATGAACAGCTCCTAAACCATTGTATGATTTGAATTTGCATTCTGGATAACATAAAAATACTTGATGCCTTTTGGATAAGGACATGTTGCTGGTTGTCTAAAATTAGGATAAACATTTCAAGTAAGTTTAAGGACTGACAGGAACTGGTTGCTTTCATAACAGGTTTTTTTGGTGTTCTGAGAAGTATTTTGTTGCTCTTAATTCTAAGTCCTTGGTTTTTTTTCTTGCAGAAGAAATATATGGATGCCATCTTGATGTACTTTGTAAGCGTGACAATTCGACTGTTCCAAAATTTGTTGTAAAATGCATCGATGAGATTGAGAAACGAGGCAAGTTGAAAAGTTTTAGTAATCAAAACCCGGGTTGAGATCTAGTTGATGTTTTGGAGAATTTGAGTTTCGTTTACACGAGATTTTCAACTGGTAACGACTTTAGACTCAGTTCACTCTCTGACCCCGTTTACACTGTGCCGGATAAAATTTATTCGCATAAAACTTGTTCGGATTGATTTGCGTTTACACTGTGCTGCACAAATTTTGTCTACTTTGCCCTCCCGTTTATACTGTGCCGGATAACTGCAGTGACATGTCCTAAATCATGCGCAGAACGCCTAAAATGAAGTCTTCTCTGGGCAACAAAATAATAACAAAATTCCCACCAACGTAAAAAGACTTCATTCTCTCTGCAGCATCAACTTGTTCTCTTTTAGACCAAATCCAAAGATATTGTCAATACAAATTAGGCCTAGTTTGTTTTAATAGTTTGTTCTTGAAACAAAATGACACTGAACTAGCAACGAAAGTAGGGAAAGCTGACAAGGATGCCAATTTTATGTGGACTGGCAAGATACTGCAATTTTAAAACGAGTATATATCGACAACAAGGCAGCCAAGATGGCGAAAGGTCTTGATTGGGAGACAGTGAAGACTAAATTGGATGAAATAGCCATTCGCTTTCGAGCAAGATACGATGTGGATAAAATCGTTTACACTGTACAACATAGCTATCCGAACTTATTTAATCCACTTTCCTAGGTGAACTAATTTTGTTCGGATAGCCGCTCTCAAATTCGTGCGGATAGCGTGGGTCTAGTGTAAACGCGATGCCTACCTGAACTAATTTTGATGTTGATAAAATTTATCCGGCACAGTGTAAACGGGGTCTCTGTCTCAGGATCGTTCTTGTATCTTTGTTTAAACAATGTGCATCGCTCCTCGGTGGGTGAAAGTGGCCGTTAACATAATTTACCCTGTTGTCAAACATCAAGCCAGATTGATTATGTCAACAATTGCACCAGAAGAAAAAAGACTTTTAGCGATCATAAACTGAACTTGGGTTGAGATTTTAGTCATTTTAATTTAGAAATTAGAAATATTATTGCCGTGGCTGCAGGTTTAACACGTTGTGTCTCTATTTTTGCTATTTATTTTTTATTTTCTCGTCTTTGTTGAGTAATTGTAATCTATGGTTTCTTACTATAACAAACCCTGATCGTTTTGAGATCCCTTCAAAACTTTTCAATTTTCTAATAGGTTTGCACGTTAGGGGCATCTACAGAGAGTGTGGCAATGCTTCGTTGATGCACAAACTGCGAATTTCTACTGATCAAGGTATTTTTCCTGTTGTGGAACAGAAAAACTCGAAGAAGAGAAGCTCTTTCTCTTTATCTTATATTTTGTTTGGCTTTGCAAGTGCATTTACTACATTTCTTTTCAGAATATGTTCCCTCCAAAAAGCTTTCTATATGCACGATGTGATTGATTTCACCTTAGCAAGTGCTGTTCACATGTGGCTTTTTTAATTCCGATCAAGGTTGTACTGTACTACTATTCATATTTCAAATTGACAGTAAGATACGCAAGGTCTATGCTTCTTCGTCAACATTCAATTGAGAATATTTACTTTTTCAGTTGAAAGTATCTAAAATTATTTAATCTTTGACAGCATTGTCAATCATTTTGTGAATTCTATATCTACTATAACTTGAGAATTCAAAAGGCTTTAGGAATAATGAGAGTGATTTTGCGACTTCCGAGCAATGAATTTCTCTTGATTTCAGGTGAGCACATAGACTTCGAAGACAAACAATGGGCGGATATACACGTGATTGCAGGTGCATTGAAATGGTACTTTCGTGAGCTGCCAGAGCCATTGATCCCCGCTGATGTTTTTGATGACTTTATCGAAGGAATAAGTGAGTGTTTTACTTGGATTCGTTATTTCTTGTTTGGGCTGCTTTTTAATGAACGACGCTTTTAAGGATGCGGTGTTAAAAAGAGGGCAGCGTTAATGAAAAGGCGGCGTTTGTTACAAATGGTTGGCTGAAAGTCCGGTATGTAATAAGGCGGTGTTTATCAGAATGCGACATTCATTAGAGGAAATACGGTAGTCATTGTAGGAAGATAAACACAAGTACATAACCCCCCAAAGATATTTCTCAGCAAAATTGTCGTGAAATACTGATGATTGTGTTTATCGCTTTTGTTTGCTCAAATGTTGTTATTTTTACAGTGTTTCGTTTAGGTTGCCAGTCTTAGACTCATTTTCCCCAAATAGTAGTTGCAGTAAAATTTTAGCTCTTTATCGTGCCCTTTCCCTCGGGGTAGACAGAGAGTTTGATCTTGTTTCGAAAATGCCATTTGCCCACTTTTTGAAAGTTGCGATTGTTTCCCATTGAATTTTTATGTGGGCTTTCAGGAAATGAAAAAATTATAAACCTTATGTGACATAAAATCAGTGACATAAAATGGGCAATCAGTGACATAAAATGGGCAATCAGTGACATAAAATGGGCAATCAGTGACATAAAATGGGCAATCAGTGACATAAAATGGGCAATCAGTGACATAAAATGGGCAATCAGTGACATAAAATGGGTAGCTGAACTTTCCCTAGAACAAAGCATCGTCAACGTTTTAACAAATTTTAGCTTGGCAAATGATGTAGCACTGTTATTTGAAAGACGTTACTTTATTTGGAAAACTAGCTGGTATGCAAAAAATATTGCTCTTGGATTTATAATCGCGGCCTCTGTTTGAGAGAGAGTCCTGTTTAACAGAAATGAATCTATCTCGCAGTATTTTTGTTGGGTGTTAATTTATTTCAGGTAGCTGTAAGTACATTTTGGTTTGCTTTGAATCATGCAGGCCAAACGGTCTATTATATTTATGGATTATTATTCAATTCAAGCGATGTGTATTTAAGAATATGAATGATATGCAGATGCAACGCCTATGAAATAACTTTACCCTCTTTTCATTGGGACAACAAGCTTTTCAGATTCGTACTGCAGCTACTGGCATCGGCCGAATAACCTTTTATATGATCACGTGATCTTCTTAGCCTGCATTTTCTACTGTAGCAAATTGGCATGTATTCATATTTACCAATATTTAGTCCTCGTGTGTTGTATTCTCTCTCTCTCTCGTGTGTTGTTATCATCTGCCCTAATGGCTATTCATTCTCACCTGAGGATAATTTCATATGTACTTTTTATCAGAGAATCCTTCAATTCATGAGCGAAGACGAAAATTCAAAACTTTAATCGACGCATTGCCAAGCTATAATTACGACACGCTGAAATTACTGCTGCAGCATTTGCTAAAGTGAGTTTTGTTTATCTTGTTTATATGTGTTTTTATCTTGTACGTCAATGCATTTATTATTCACTTTTATTTTCAATAACTCGTGCATAGATTTTTCTTTTGCTAATTTAAAAGCTTAAAGCTTATCCATAAATTGCTCTTCTTTATAGTATGATTCTACTCTAGTTACTCTAGGACAGTTGGTTCTTATAAAATGACAGCGATTTTTGCCAATTGGAATGTGAATATCCGGAAGGAGATGATTTCCCAGAATTACATTTCCCAAAGCTGGTATAGACATATTAAACACATTTCGCATGTCATTGTTTCCTTGCAACTTGTATGCAAGCATCGTTGAAATGTTTATTACAACTCGTGCTTTTTTCTCCGACAGGGTCACCGAATTTAGTTCAGAAAACAAAATGGAAAAACATAACTGTAGTATCGTGTTTGGGCCTACCTTACTCCGACCAGAAGAAGAAGAAAGCCAGTTGAATATTGCCTTAAACACAGTGTACCAGAATCAAATCGTTAATTTCTTGTTATCGGAGTATGCAGAATTATTTTCATCTGCATAAAATGTAGTCATTTATTCATGGATAGCAATATATTGTGGGACTATTTGCCAAATTGTGTAGAACGCATGCCTTTCGTATATTTCTTGAATGCCGTTCCATATCAGAAATGTAAAGTGTGGTATGCAGCAGTGGCGTACCCAAGGAGGGAATAGGGGGGTCCGGACCCCCCACTTTTTAAAATATGGTCCTCGAGATTTGTCCAAAAACGATGTAAAACCCATTAGGGGGGGTAGTATACTGTATGCTTGTGTCAATAACAACTGTAAAATACTTTGCTATTTACCATAGCTGAAATGAATCAAATAACGTGGGAAAATTTTGCAAAGAGAGCGTTTCCCCGCATTTGCGAGTGTTTGAAGGGCGTGGTCAAAAAAATTTGGGACTAGGCCCCAGACCCCCCCCACTACTGCAGCCCTGGGTACGCCACTGGTATGCAGGTTCGTTTTTGACAGCATTTTCTGGTTTTGCTGAATTATACAATCTGCTGCCACACTTTTAGAAGCAATTTTAAGGAATAGTGTCTAGTCATATTCATATGGAACCATTTTCTATATAAAGTTAGATGTTATTACACGAGACATAAGGGAAGGATAATTTAAGTAGTTAAAGTTTCAATAATTTAATCTGTTTTAGTTTAACCCTACAGTTGCCACTGTTTGCATGCTTTGACTTCTATCATTGAAATTTGGCCTAAAGTAGTTGTGATTTTTTGAAACCGTTTTTTACTAGTGGGGCAATCCTTAAAAGGTTTCCCGTCTGAAGATTAGTCTTCACATATAGACTCGATAGCACGTGTGGCCGCTTGCAGGTGAATACGAATAATGAACGAGGCTAAATTTTCCTTCAGTATATGGCAAGATTCAAGTAGCTCGACTTCTGAATTTTGAATACCATTTTGAGGCTAGAAACTCTCTTTCAACCTATTGTGATCACGATTTTAACATTTAGAGTGAAATTTAAGTTTGGTGATTATGAAATTAGTTAACAAAAACTATCTTTCCAGAGAATCAACTTTCTGCCTCGGTGATGTAATAGATTACGCTTTCACCTCTTAAAGCAGCAGGCATACATGTTATGGCTTGAGCCTTGTCGCCGTCAAATATTGGATAGAAATTTAAAATGAAATCGAGTTAGAGAGAAGGGAGGCCTATCGATGTTCAATACAAATTGTATGAAGACTCAGTTGGGGCCTTTCCCACACAACCACAAGTGTCCGTGGAAGTTTGAGCCGTTTTAACTGGACCAAATCAAGAAGTCTGTTGCTAGTAAAAGTCTGGTGGTAACTTTATGCTCAAAATGGCATTTCAGCTGTTTAATAGTTGTTTATATTTTAATGTATGTAGATTTAGTAGTGGTGGAAAGAGTAAATGAATGTAAATTTCAATATTGGACTGATTTGAACGATTATTTTGATGTACAACGTCACGCTACTAAAATATCATTTCTCCCAAAACGATTCGTAATGTTTGTAACACGACCTGCTTAAAACACTTGCTTTTCCCTGTCATTTCCTAAATTATTCTTTTATTAACCACTTCCATGTTGCCACTCGATTATTTTTCAGGAGAAACTTTGTCTATTCTTTCTTGAGCCATGCCTCGTGAACCCATGCTGTCATACGAAACTCTGCCTTTCCATCTCTTCCGATTTTTTCTAAATGCTATAGTTTGGATGTATTTAAAAAAGTAAGGGACCAAGTTGCATTTAAAAATCGACTTGTTTCGAAATAAAACACCGGTTTTGTACGTCTAACTACCCTAGAATAACAGCATAATTTACCTTGTATTTCAATGTAGTTTTTGTAAACATTTCTTTCTACTCAAACACTTCCACCCACTCAAACATATCCTCCCATTCAAACGTTCTCTCTTACTCAAACATTCCCTCCCAGGTTTAATAACGTAGCTGAAATGTTATTTTATCGTTTGTTGAGATTGCGAGAACACTTTCTAGCCATAACAGGGATGCACGTAAAATATCCTATTAGTAAAAAGTTTAAATATTTTAATTAAGTAAGCAAAGAAGCTGGTTTTGGTTGCAGGAAGAAAAATATAATGGATGTACCACAAAGCTCAATCCCGGGGCTTCTGCTATTTAGCAGCTTTATCAACATGATTCTTTTGATTATTGTAACTGAGAGCTGCAGCTGGCTGTTTATGAACAGCCATTGGGACTTTGATGTGAAATGTTTTGAAATGTCAACCAGAAAGAAATGCCAATTACAGTGCTTAAGTGATAATGTAACAAAAACTTGGTTGATAAGAGTCACACTAGCTAGTAAATTCAATTGTACGATGCATTTTGAGAATACATTTTTAATACATTGAGAATACAATTGAGTATACAATCAGAAACCAAGATTTCAGCCATATTAAATACTTTTGTCTTAATTCAGCTATTCCTTTCTACCACAAAGTTTTTGCATAAAATCTACCGGAGTGTATGTGAAATATCTACATCTTCACTAGGATCAAAATAACAGCATGGTACATTTTTTAAATCTAAACTTATATGCTAGAGAAATTTACAGGCTTCTGATAATCTTATCCTAACATCAAAGTTACAATTTCTTCTTGAGAAATCTTATATACAGGCTAAGAACAAACAACAACTTACAACTGCCAATTGCACGCCCAAGGTGGGGGCACCGGATAAAATGGGTATAAGGGACATGTGGCACAAAATAATGATTTCTAAACATACGATATGAGGAAAAAAGAATCCAGGAAAAAATGCACCGATTTAAGATCTTTCTTGTCATTTTGTGACACTGCTTTGTCAAGTGTGTACGATCTACATATATCATAGGAACTTTGAGAAGGATCAGCGTATCAAAGTGCAGGAAATTTTTAGCGAACCTAAACTGTGACAAGTCTCAGATTAAAAAAACATTTAAATGCCTGCATTATGGCAGCCTGTGGCATTAAAACTGGCCTTGGTAAAAATGTCTCAATTCTTATTTCCCTGGTAAAAATGTCCTTTCCACTAAGTAAATACAAAAAAATATAAAAGCAAAAATGAGTTGAATTTCATTACTATATATGAAAATCATTTTTGGACTTTTAAGATAAAATCTAATAGGCCTTGGAAGAATACATGTAAATCCTTCAACTTTACTAAAAATTGTGTTTATGATTGGCTTTCGTCAGTTTTACATAACTATTTCTTCTAAATTATAATGGAGTTGGTCTTGTCTTCCTGAATTCTTAAAAATAGGGATCATAGAAGGGTGGGCTGATGAATTGCAAATGGCTGATTGCAAAAGTATCTGCAGCTGAAGCTAGAGGCAACTACTTTGATAGGATTTTATGCAGGAAAAAATACTAAATAACTGATTTATCTTTACATCTGCTTGTTCCAACCCCTGCAGGCCAATCATAATAAAGGTCAAGTTAAACGAGTTGTGAAATTTTCCAGATAGGGCAATTGTGGACATTCCCCTCCACTCAATCAGGCACTTAATGGTATTATATAAAGAGCTCTATGCGTTCCTTGGTCAACGCCTATAGAATATTCGAAAAGGAGTTAGTATCACCTGAATTGGAGTGCGACTTCACCTTACAAATAATTTCACCTGAGATAAAGCCCCTTCCTGTATACTTTTTTACAACCCCACTTTTATAAAGTTTCCTTCCATATTTAAAAAGATGCAGCAAGATGACTAGTTTTCGTTCTTAGTCCTTTAACCGGGCTTGGCTTCGACTGCATGAAGCTTTCGATCTTCCCGTGGAACTCTTTGGGATCTTTTTCAGTAAGAAGTTTGGCGAAAGTGCAGGGCTCTACAGATTTTGGCAAAAAATCTGCATGGTAACTGGTTTCACCATGGAACTGGTCTCCCTGGGCATGACGCTTGTTCTCAGGTAAAATGGGAGATCGTCTTTTCACCGGTCCATGGTCTTTAAAGTCACGTCGCATGACAGAAGGCTCTTCAAGAAACCTACTAAGTGGCTTCACATAATATGGTTGCTCATACGGATCCCCGTAACGCTGCACTTCAACGTCACCATAATTTGGAAATTGTGCCTTGTACGAGGTGTCGCTGAAAAACTTAGCCGTTGTTGCCCTTGTTTGATCTGGTGGCCTTAAAGCAACTGGACGTACATCGTTGTGCTTCTTAAAATCGGCGCGCATCACCGACTGAGACTCTAGCTTCTCTTTTGGTGGACTGTACCTTTCTTCAACTTTTGTTAGCGGTGGCCTATGCAACTTGTTTTTGTCCCATGTTATTTTATGGTCCGTGTATTTAGTGGTTTCAAAATACTGTTTGTCATCGATCTTCAAATCGATTGTTTCCGGTGGGGGTGTGATCGCCTTTCTTGGGCGAGGCATTTTGTTTCCAAAGCCTTTAAAATCATCTTGTGCCTGAGTCTTGCAATCAAATTTCGGTCGCGGTTTCCACTCTGTGACCACTTTGAATGGTTGTTCCTTGACAAAGCCTTGGTGCGTTTTGAAAGCATCACTGTTGGTAGTCACCATCTCATGCTCTCCCTCCATGCCGATTTTAACTGTACTCTCTTTTGGAGCAAGAAGCTCTGGCTTCTCTGCAAACTCGCCAGAATGAACTGCATTTTTAAAAGATATCTTTTCAACTGGGTTACCACGTTCCGGATAAAGTATAGAGTAAGTGAAACTCGGAAGTTCTTGAAATGCTTTTAGTCTTGGCTGTCCTCTTCCTTCAAACGTGTCCTTGTACATTGTGCGTGCATCAAACTTAACATCCGACTGCGCTTTCTGTGTTGCTGGGCGCTCGATCTTTACAGGAGCTGGTCGATGACCAGGGAAGTCAACCTTGTACACTGAATCGCCCTGAAACAGCCCGGTCAAGGTTTCGTATTCTTCTTGAAGCTAAATCAAAAGAAGAAATGATTTGACATTAGACTTATACTAAATAAATCATCTGTTAGCCGTGAATAGACGAAACACGTCCGTATTCAGCAGAGATTATAACGACACACAGGACGAAGACCTGATATATTTCTTTTATAGATTTTGAAAATTTTTGTTTTAAAAAGCAGCATGTAGTGCCTGATGCAAGTTTTGAGTATCAAGACAGAGGTTTAGACAGCAAGATGTACTGAAAACTGTTTTTATTCTTTTAGTTACTGGAAAATGACAAATAGGAATGCGATTCTCTCTTACTGTCGATCTTTCTACTAAAATCTGATGGCTGGTTGACTAAATTATATCAGAGAGAAAGTTGGATTGAGGTCCTTGTTTAGGACCAATTTCACAGCATATGTATGGCCATACTTAAGTACTAAGTGACACAAACGGCACCTACAATCATTTTCATCAAAGCATAGCTATTTTGGGTTCGTTATAACAATTTGATTTAGGAAATAGTGCTGCAGGTACTGCGGAGAAGGGGGGTTTTGGGGGGTAGGACTTTAGCCTGCCTGTGCTGTCCCAAAGATCCAAAGAAACTGCTTTTCGAACAGTTGGGTCCAACCACTCTGTGATAGTATTGGATTTTTGGTATTTTATGTTTATTCATTTAGTGGCATACAATTAATGAAACACCCATTTAAGCCTGCTGTTGTGATATGGGGCATTCTTCTTGAAATCCAACAACTCGACTCTTGTCTTCATAAACTGTCTTATATTAAAAGTTCAAATATTGGGTCAAATTTGGTTTGAGAGCAAGAACATCACAATTTCCTATCAAAGAACTCCATTTAGGTCAGCGTCGTAGATAGAAAATTCAAAGAAGGGGCAAGAAAACTTCTCAAAAAAGGCATTTTTAAGTACCATACATTTTTAAAAGAGATTGCAAAGAAATCTGATTCAGAACATTGAAAGAAGTTAGAATCTTTCCTCTCAAAATTTAATAATAAGATAAAAAATTGACAACCATGTTATATTTCCAACAAGATCAGAAGTTTTCTGACAAAATAGCACTTTAGCTATAAAGGGGGTCTCACCCCTCTGACCCCCTCTATCTATGCCACTGATTTAGGTAATGCAACCACAATGTCACATGGCAAAAATGTTTATTTTTAAAGAAGATTTTAGTTGTTCCGTTGGTGTTTGTAAGAACGAGTAAGAAAGAGACAAATAAAAATAGATAGGAAGTTGAAATACCAATGGAGAAAATAAACTGAAACTACCTTGCATGGTTTTGTTCTTCCAGCATTCTTATATTTCTTAAAGTCCAAACGATTTGTTGTTCTGAAATCCATAACTGGAGGATTTGGGTTTAACGTTGCAGGCAAAGGTCTCATTATTTTTGCTGGAGACTTCAAAGGTGCCAACCCAAATGATTTTTGGTAATCAGTCTTCTGCCCCATTGATGGTTTAAGTTCCATGGTTGATTTCATGCTGGGAAAGTTTTTTGTGCATCCTGGGTGTTTGTGAGGTCTCCTGTAGTTTAGAAGATAAGCATGAAGAAAGATTAATCAACTAGCATCTTGTAATTAACGAAATGAAATAAAATCAATTCAACACAGATGAAATATTATGAAGGTTAAAAATTTCCCAGCAGGTCATTACAGCTTTTCACTTTGATAGCACTGCTGTTGAAAATAATACCCCCCCCCCCATTAAACTAGTAAAGGGCAGGGAAGGGACATATCTTCTTGACGCAAGCATTAACTAAAATCATGTGCTTTTAGAATGAAGAGGAAAAACTAAGGTGCCACTCAATCAGAATGGGTCATAACTTTCACAAAACCCACTCTAAGTTTCTGAATAGAAACAAGTAACAAGAAAAAGAATCAATCATTTTGGCTCTCAGGAGCCTTATGGTCAACTGCCTTATCAGCTCAGAAAAGGTAGAGATGTGGTGGAAAATAGGAGGGATGCCAGAACAACCAAGCGGCAAGAGGGGAGGCTTCAGTAACAGAGCATTTGAAGAATAATTCCCAGCTTCTGTTAATTTTTTTGTAATGGTAATTTTTTTTCGATTTTCTGCAGGCATATTGAAAATTGGAATGTCATAACTGCTGCCCTAAGAAATTTTTAGAAGTTTTGTCAAGAATAAGGCACTACCGGGATTTCCTATGAATCTCTTTGATAATTACGAAAGGCAAATGTCAAGGGCACTTTTATAGAGAGGACACTTTGGCCCCCTGGCCCCTCCTATCAAAAGGCAAGAGGGGCAGTTGCCCCCCCCCCTCATCCCACTGTCCAGCATCCCTGGTGGAAAGTCAAAATAGGAATTATCAGAAAGTCAGCATTCCTGAAAGTACATACATATAATTTAAAAGCATTACACACAAGAGTAGAGACACTTTAAAAAGCATTGTCACAAGCAGCCAATTTAGTGAATAAAACAGAATTATTCTTGAGCATTTTTAATCTGCTTTGAATAAACTTCAAAAGCTAAAAAAGTTTGTTTTTAAACTATGGACAGTTCCAAACACCAAACATTGTTTTAACAAAACCAATTGCACTTAAGAATAAATATAATGGCTAAAGCTTGACTCACCCACAGTCACAGAGCTGACAGATGCAGCGGATTCCTTTGGACCTAAGAAGTCTTGTTGTTTGTTCGTCTAGCTGCATGATGCTATAATAATGATTTCATTTTATTAATTTGGTCATTTCATTTTGACTCATTATCGTCCAATGTCATAAGGTCTGACTGATTTCAACACAACAAACAGCGTTATAAAGTCAAAACACATATTGAGAAGGGAAGTTGGACAAACTGCCACTCTCTCGCTCTCTCTGTCCAAATGGGATCCTTCAATTTCCCTCGATCAGCACAGCTTAAAGTTCCCCAAAGAATTTTCTTTCGTATAAAATTCTTATGCTGTAACTCTCTTTATGTATGCTCTTTTACGAAGCACTGTTGCAATATATTACTTGTTTGAGTTCTGCCTATGTAGAATAGTGTTATAAAGAAATAAAACAGAAACAAAACAGAAAAATCACATCTAACCTAAAAACTTCGGTTTTCCGAGCGTGAAATATTACTATGAAATCATAGAGCAGCAACCAATAGATATGACATACTACCTTGTAATATGTTGCTAAGAGTTCCCTTATGTTGTTAATCATTCATGGATAAGCATCGTGTTGATCGCATAAAACGAATACATTTAATATGCGGTCTGATCAAGGACCATGTTTATGTCGTGTTACCATGAACACGACAAAATAGGCCTTCGACCAAAGAGAGGCCGAGTGCAAAGGACATGGGGCCAGTCACTGATCAGTGGGGGCCATTGGTGTACCAAGCCCCTTTGGCGAAAGGTAAGAAGTATAATTAAAGTACATAAAGAAATATCTTTTTACCCAGGGACGAAAACAAGTCACTAATTTTGGGGGGTCGTGGAAGGATAAAAATTCCAGCTTTACTTGAGGATTTTTTCCTCAAAAATTGACTTTTGGAAATATCCCTAATTCAAGATTTCTAGTGTCTTTATTATAACCAATACTTAACTCATATTAGTTAGCCTGAAGTATAAAAACACTAAAGACGAAAACTGAAATCTCCAAATTTGGATTAATGTAACACGAACATCTCAACTTTTCGTAAGAATTAAAGCAACATCAAAGTATAGCCAGTATTATATATATTCAATGATAAAAATAAGATTCTTTTTAAAGCTAATTAGTAGCCTGTGTGAAACTCAACTTTCCGTTGTGAAGGAGAGCCAGGACGGAACTAAGTAAAGTCTGCACGCAGGCTAGCTAATTTGGTGCATATCAATCTTATCTAAAATATCTCTTTACGGTATAGAAGCCTCAAGGAATGAGTCCTTCATCATTTTTTTTGATCAAAGGAAATTTTTAACAATTTTCAGAGGGCCAAATGTCCTTTAGTTATTCGTTATTTCGTTATTCGAAACACTCTTCTTTGATCAAATTCTGCTGCAGCTTCTACAATGTCCTCTGCCTTCATAGCAGCTTGATCAGCGGTGCCAAACTCTGGAATGAATTGCCTGATAATATTAGAACGGCTAACTCTAGACTTACTTTTAAACCAAAACTGGAGACGCATTTTCTAGAAAATTTATTACACTGGTCATCAATTAATCTCTTTTTGTTCACAAGATTTCTAATCATTGTGCATTTGATTTGACCCAGTATTAACTTTGAATGAGCTCCATATTTTAAAACTATAGATCCGATAGGGGGGCTCTCTTCTCGTTAGTCTACCTACTTAGAGAGTTCCTCCTTAAGAAATTTCACACTTACAATTCAATATGTTTAATTTATTTTCTATCTAATTGCTCTCTTTTTTTATTCTTTAATTATATTAATTGTATTGTAATTTATTGCATTGTATTGTATGTGTGGAATTTTGAATAATGAAACTGAACTGAACCGAACATAGCAATTTATGATGAGGAGTTCAAAACCCTTACAAACAGCAGGGGCAGCGTTGCATACAATCAAAATTTTTTCCTTACCATTGTTTCCCTGATTGATACTTTTCTTAACCATTGGAACATCTAACACTAAAGTTTTTTCCAATGAGGAAATCTAGAAGGGGGGGGGGGGGTTAGCTTCAAATTCACTTGACTTAAAAAATTAACCAAAAATTTCATTAGTTGTTTACATCTAGCTCCACAATACATTTTTCCAACCAAATCTACGAGATGTAATTCGCTAGATCTATTTATATGATAGTAACAGACTTTCTAGAATAGATTCGTTTGTCGGGACCAAAAAGAGGGCAAAGTTGTTTTCAGATTCAGGAAAACATCGCGGTCTCACGGTCACTGACCGGAGGAAGGTTGTAGAAGGCAAAAATAAATTGAGGAAGATGACCAAAAATTTGGAATCTGAAAGAAGTTGAAGAAATCGTATTACTCTTTTGGTTTTCAAAATACAGTCAGACAAGATGATAGAAAATCAAATAATCTTTATAAAACTTCAGTTAATATGAATATGTTCGAAGAACTGCGTTGCATTTTAAAATTAAGGTATGTTTTTATAATAACACACTTTTGTTATCAATTGATAGAAGCATGTAGCTTTACATCTGTCTCAAGAGTTGTATATGATTGAAACAAGCTACAATATTTGAAAAATGTTTTAGAGCAACAAAATTGCAAGGAGAGGGGATCAAGGCCCTCTCCCCTAAAGTTTCTAACCACGCCTATTTTAAACCCATTTACATCGAGGAAGGCTTTTTAATGATTTTTTCTTGGCCGGGGGAAGGATCTAAACTCTGGCTATTTTCGTTGGAGGCACCGTGGTTGCTGCGAGAGAAAGAAAAATTTTCGAATTTCATGCTTTGAGCTCACTGGAAAATGCCATCTCTGGAGCAATATTTACAAACGAATATCCACAGGATGAAAGCTGGTTTTAATTGATTTCCTACTTATGGAACAAGAACAAGATAGAGTAGAAATTTCTTCTGATTGGCTTCCTGTTCGGGTTGGTGAGAAAAATTCTTGATATCGGGACTATCTGGATAAAATTGAGAAGGTTGGAAGCTATTAATCATGATGTCTTATGAAAAATCATCAAATTTTTTCAAAATTTCTTTCAAAAGCAACCACTGGCTTGTTGCCTTGGTAAAATCAGCGCTATCAAACGAGACCCTTTTCATTGACCAATAAATTGAAGTGCAAAATAAGTGCTTCGTTCTCCTAATCTTACTAAAAATTTCTTGTGCAGACCAAATCAACTCACAATGGTCTTAAATATATAATTTGTCGCGCTTTATCTTAAGTCAAGCTGCATCTTAAGTCAACCACCAGCACTAGTTGTCAATTAACCCCTTCTTCCATCTTGCAATTGACCCCTTATTCCTTTCTAGCATGAAAAAGTCGAAAGCTCGATGTGAAGTGCAGTCGATGCTTCACTTCTTCCGGAAAACAGGGAAATTTGACACAAGGCACACTTTTACCAAAAAGGACCTATTCGCTTGGATTTAATGCCAACAAGAAATCTTGAATTTATCAACATTTAGTTTTCTTGGGGGATTGTCATATGTAACCAAAGGAGCAACTACTGCTGCATGATTCCTTATAGATTTTAAGTTGTGAAGGTCAACAAATTACCTAAAACATTTCTTCCGCAGAACATATTTTACCTGAAATTTAGTATAAAGCTACTATTTGGAGGGGGTTTGACGCCCCCCCCCACACCCCTCGGTCACAACGGTCTTTAAAGGAATGTCTGTGCCTAGACTGTTAAAACATGGCATATATTGAACGTGATAGAAAATGATAAGGAAAAAGCTTCAAAATTTTGAATTTGAATAAATAAATATCAGCTGATAAGCCATCACAACATAAACACGTACATTGTGTTTATATATTAATTCGATATATAGATACTTAGTTATTCGAAATATTCAGTACCCAAGCAAACTATATTCATTCACAACAATATAAAGATAGGCGTAGCATAATATTAACTCACCAGCAGAGGTTACAGAGCCACGCAGTCCACTCTTGTGTAGCATCACCCAGCCTGATCACCTTGGTTTGGTATTCACCATAAACAAAGAAACTGTTGTTTTTTATGTTCCTTTTCACAAAATGCTTGTATTGTGATGTAACTTGGCAAAGGTTAGTTGCTTTTTTGCTGACTTCAGGCTGTTGCTCAATTGCCGACCGAATGTAACTTTGACTTGATTTGCCGACGGATATTTGGCTAAGGGGGTGTTGCATCCCCTGCACCCCCTGCACCCCCAACGTAGCTACGGCTCTGCATGCTTATTATCAAGTCACCGTTTCAATTGTTTCTCCAAAGAGCTATTACAGGGTCCGTGCCACTGGTCCTAAACTGGAGGGGCTACCATTGTAAAGAGAGTTTCTTTTTATCCCCTATAGCCCCAATTGTGGCAAACATTATGCTGTGGCGCGGGTCCTGTAGTAAACTGTTTTTTTCTAGGAATTTCAGCTTATTTAAGGAATATGGATGCTAGCCCATTAATCCTATCGAAAATCATGATGCTGCTGTAAATTCAGCTGGCTAAAAAGAAAAGAATAGAAGAAACTGGATTGCTTTCCCACAGGACTATTTTGCTCAAAACAATGGGACTAGTCGTAGTAAAGGGTGATAGGTAAAGGGGGTAGGTAAAGGGTGAAGAAGGGCCTGGCCCCCAATATTCTAGAGTAGCCCCAAGCCCAAACGTTTGTTTATCGAGGATTAGATAGATATTCGTAATGCACTGAGTTCAAACAAGAGCACGTGTTACCACTTGTCCCTCTTACCCAAGACTGTGTTGTATGTACATGTTTGTTCATTACCTCTGTACGTTGTTTTTGATATAGTCAGTTCTATAATCAATTCGGTAAACATGCATCGTGCATTGTTGAGACTTTATTGGAAGAGCTTTATACGAGCTAAAGATTTAGCAGAACAAAAATGCCATACCAAAGGACAATAATTAAAATTTGAATACACAAAACTCTGAGCGAGAACTTTTCTCTCGTCAAAGCCAATAGCGGGAAATGCGCAGTTTTCCTATATTTTATTATTAAATATGAATTCATCGGTATAAATTTCAATTAAGGTTGAAGTAACCATTCCTGTTCATCAAATTCCTTATTCATATTGATATTGATATACACATAACACAGGATATTGATATCACATGAAACCCCTAAATTTATTATCCTAATCCTTCACGCTATTGCATTTCCTTACAATTTACAAGAAACCCTATCAATTTCAGTTGAGTAGAAAACTTCTCAAATTATTGATGATGTCTGGAGCCTAGAATCATCCCTTCAGCACGCCCCTATTCGAATCAAGTGTGTATTGATGCTTCAAGTACTGACGGGGGCAGTGGCGAAGCCACGGGGGGACTATTCCCCCCACTTTTTCAGAAAGTCGGTCCTTTAGATTCTTGCAAATCTGATTAGAAAACTTCAGGGGGGGATATGTACGTTATCTAGATCGTCATTTTTAAATGGCGTTTCTTGGGAGACAAGAGTTGGATCCTCCGGAAGAAAATGTTTCAATCAGGGTAAGAAGGGTGTGGTATGAAAGGGCGTGGTCTTTGACACACCTTTTGTTCCCCCCATTTATCCCAGGCTGGAGCCGCCACTGGACGGGGGTTTGCTTGTGAACAAGGATTTCAATGTAAAACCTAAATTAGTTAATGTAATATATTTAATCTCACTTATTATATGTAATTAATATTATTATCTATATTTAACGCCCTACCTATTTAACGCGTTGACTAGTGGCCGGGGACTGGGAGTGATAACTGCGGGGCTGCAAAATATTCGTAGCCCAGGGCGAGGGCGCCTTTTGGTTTTAACTAGGTTTTTCACGCTGAAGCCGTGGCGCAATAGAAGAGACGTGCAAGTAGTGGAATAAGACGCCAAATGGACCTAAGTTCGCTCGAAATTTGAAACTGTATTTTTTACGGTCAAAGAATCGAGGTTGGCACTAAATTTTATTACTTTTGTGCTTTTGTCTGCATCTGTGACTACAAGCTACTGTGAAAGAACGCTTCTCTTCCATAAGCCTAACATGGTGAGGACAAGCACTGTTGAATAAGAATAGTTTGTATATGCCAAGAGATTCACGTACGAAAACTCGCTTTCACTTGAACTCTGTAAGCTTTCACAGAATGCTCAACGGCGATGTTGTTGACGATGACGCTATGAGCGCCGATAAAGCCGAAGAGTTGTTCAAAGCTAGACCTCAACCTTTCTACGGTGAATGTTCGCAGTCTGCCCAAGATGGTGTTTTTGAGGATCAAGAAATTGAGATGGAGGTACAGTTTCGGAGTGCTCACTCGATAGATTTCAAATTTTTCATATCGGAGCTTGCTTTGAAGTACAATAATAAAAGTATTGCGGACGCCTTCAATATTTCTGTAAAGCAGGTGAAAGAATGGCGGAGGCAAAATTTGCTCTTGAAGCAGGCGTATTATGAGAAAAATGTTGCTGCGAAAGTAACCAAAGACAAACCTGATTTGAGTTTCACTGACCAAAATATTTCTGCTTGCTCTACCTTGACCAGTTCTGTGTATTCTTCTTCTGTTACAGCTGTTCCACAACCAACCATGTCAGAAGCAATTAATTCAAATTCAACCCCAAAGCCCAGAAAGAAGTCATCTTATAGCTCTGAATACAAACTAAAAGCTGTTGCTTATGCCGAAGTTACAACAAACCGAGCTGCTGCTAGGGAATTCAATGTACATGAGAAAAGGATTAGGGAATGGAGGAAAAATAAGGAAGTACTGATGAATTCACCAAAAGATTGCAGAAGACTGAAAGGTGCAGGAAGAAAGCCCTTTGTGAACCAGCAGCTAGAAGAAAAATTGTATAATTGGTTGATTGTCACAGCAAAAGAGAGAACCTCAATCTCAAAGACTGATCTAAAGCAAAAGGCAATAGAAATTAATCTAACACAATCCCTTAATACAAAATTTACAGCAAATGATTCTTGGGTTGATGGCTTTTTGAGAAGACACAATTTGAACTTAAAAATGAATGAATGTTCATCCAGCAGCTCTGATAACAAAAGCTGTCAATCAAATATCTCAGAAACATATCCATTACCAACTATGATAAGAAATGAACAAGACCCATTCGATTCTGTGGAAACAAGATACAGCCTGGTCAGTTGCCCTGAAGCCCAGCAGGAAGAAAACACAAATGATGACTCCTCACGATCCATTCCATATTCAAAACTGCAGTAATTGAACAATTGAACAAAAGTGATGCAAATTGTATATGTGTTGAGGAAATGTGGCACATTTGAGAATAGAGACAAATGTTGAACAGCAACTTAAAATGGAACACTAATCAACCTACTTGGTAAAACTTTGGTGTAAACAAACATTTGACAAAGAACATTAAAAAACAATTGTGGGAAGTATAGTGCAACTGGGATTTTTGCTTTGTACTTTTGAAATAAAAGTTTTTGTTTTTAGAAAATAATTGTTAGCCCAAGCCATCTGCTGGTTTGGCAGCTTGCTTCTTTGTACATGGGTCTGAATTATCTACAAATGCCATTAAATTTATGTACAGTAGAGATCTGCAAATAAGAACCTGGTTTTTCATGAAATTAGGCAGAAATACAATTTTTGGAGCCCTGTAAAATCAGCAAAAGGCTCAAACTGGAAAAGGCTCCTAGATAATGAAACATCTATACAGGCTGTCTGTTCATGAAGTACCAGCTGCAGTTGTTGAATAAGTAAAAGGTGTCTAAATTCTTTGAAGATTCTAACTCCCCTTTGCCCATATTGCATATTATAGGTGATCCATAAACACTACATTGTGATTCAGTCAAAAATTAATAGATGATGTTATACTTGCCTGCCCATTTATAATTTTTGTTGTAATATCTGCTTTATGTTGATTTTATGGAAAAAAGTTCCTTTGTATATAAGAAGTTTTTTGAATTTCAAAAGACTCCCCCCCCCCCCCAGTAAGTTCCCCTCGTACAGAAACCTTTAAGAACCCTTCAGAAATAAATTTATCATTGACATTTGCAAAATAAAAGCTTTTTAGGCTGCCTATGAAAAAGTTAGGTTCTCTTATGCAGGGTCTAGTGTAAGTATATACGCTTTTGATAACCATGCATTGTAAATAATAAGATTTAAACTTTCTTAGCAAATCAGCGTGACCAACAGAAATTTTCAGACTTGTGTGAGAATTATGGTTTTTTTTCATAATAAATCTCCATGTTGTAGACTTTTCTTTGCTTGTTTGATATCTCTCTACATACAACATGAAGGAGTCATGCTAGGGGTTTGTAAGGGTTTGTTTATGCCATTGTTTTACTAATTGCAGTTATCAACCAATTATGCTCTACTGCATTTTGCTAAATTTTGAATTGTAATTTATCAATCGGTCAGCTACATTGACAATATCATCAATTTTGTACTTGTGTCAGTTTTCTACATTTTAGATTGTTCGTTATGCGAGATATTTCATTCATGTTTACTTCATCCAAATCCCTCAATGTAATAATTAGGAAGAAATTTGTATATTTGTATATTCAGCAGCAATAGAAAGAAATGTGATAACAATTTTCATGTTTCCCATTAATTTCCTTTTACTACTAACAATAGGTTTGGTTAATAGATTCTATGTTCTGCATGAAGGGTGCCAGAGTGTTCTATATTCCCTGCATATCAAAATACAGGGCAGGGCATAGGCCTGTTGATTGGTTTCAAATAAGCTACATTGTACAATTCTTTTGTCCAATAAGCTTTTAGTCGAGTGTCATGAATCATACTTCTTAAGGATTTTTCTGGACTTCTCCTCGAAAGCATTGTTAAGCAACATATTTTGTATAAACAGATTTCTTAACTTATTCATAAAAACAGAATAAATCGTCTTAAAAATTTTTACTCTCAAATTACAACACTTTGATAGAAAAGAGATAGACAACCACGTTATATTTCCGACAAAATCAGAAGTTTTCAAGACATATCATTAATACTTTGAAAGGGGGGTTTTCACCCCTCTGAGCCCCTTATGCATTGCATATGCAACAAGCAAATTAGGATAGCCATGGAGATTGTTCTAATGAAATCATTTTCGAAAAGGAACTTTTCGCCATACCAAGCTAAATGTGAGAGAATCATTTCTTGATTTGCACCTGCTGCCTTACTTAATCATTAATTCAGCATCTGCTTTGCAGTTGCTTGCAATTGTGTGAACACTGGAAACTCTGTACTGCTTCCAAATTGTTTGAAAAACGGGTCACATCAGTGCCGTCGGAACGAAATTCATATTGGGGGGCTGCCCATTGTTTTCCTTCTCATTCAGTACACTGTGGTAAAGGAAACATACTACAGTTTGACAATTATTGGGGGGGCTCCAGCCCCCCCCCCACCGGTTCCGACAGGCCTGCACATGATGGGAACAACAAAATTAAATTAAAGAAAGCTCAAATTATTACACCAACTACATTGGCATTATAGGAAATGTCTAAGAAATGTCAACCCCATTAGCTTGTTACTTTTCGTCATTCTCTACCATTTTGTACCTTCTTTCTGTACCATTAAAGTATACATTACCGTTACCCATAAGACGAAGAAGCATATACATTTATCACGTCCAGCGCGATTCATATCCCTGTGAGCCAGCCACGTAGCTGCAGGGGGCATGTGTGTGGGGGGGGGGCTGTGCCCCCCAAATGAAAATTTTGACAACAACTTGCTCCCTCAGGCTACACTTTTTCCAAAAGATATTTCGAAAAGCTGGCATAATTTCAATTCCGTGAGATTGATTTAGTCCAAATATATTTGTTTGTCATATATCTGCTCTCTTGTTTTAAAGCCTGCCCCACTCAGGTATGGTACTTGCTCGAGTTTGCCCATCCTAGCTGACATCCGCAGCTACGTGGTTGCTGTGAGCACACCCATCTGTTCTGCATCGGCCAATGCTTAAATGGAAAGTAGAGGGCTCCACAGGTACATCCCTCTCGAAAATAATGTTGCAGGCAGCGCCCTTCAAATTGCGGGAAACTGATACCACACCCAGTAACAAAGGCACCAGGGGTCCTTGGGGACTTTTTAGTTCGGGGCCTCCCAATATAAAGCATTTGTAAAATAATTAAGACAACAAATAAAATGCTAATCAACAGACTTTCCAATCAATTAGACTGAGGTAAGCGGAGAGTGATAAGCACCTCAACAGGATAAGTATATAGACCAAAGTGACCCAATTTTCCCCCACTGATTCTTTTTTTAAGACCACTTTAAATTAGGCACTGGTAGCAAACACGGTTTCCCTGCTTTCGGATCAAGAAAATGGTAAAGTATTGTCAAAAAAACAAGCAAAAACTTCCTGTTTACTTTTGTATGCTTTGTTATTTGCAAGTACCCCAGTCTAAATGTAGTTCTTGGGGCATTTTCAGAGTTGCAACTGCATCTCATCAGATTTAGCTCATTGCCAATTTCATGTCATAATTGTGACGTCACGTTGACAAAATTGCCACTACACTCCTTTTATAAGAACCAGTAAATTTAAGTTCAGGCTGACTGTTGTTACTTTTTTCGAAAATCTGAGGCTGGATTGTTCTTAATTTTTTCTTAAATTAAGAGGGTGTAAGCAGTGCTATTGCTAGCTTTCTCGCTCTAAGGAGATGTTCAGGCCTCATTTGCCAACAAAGTGAGTGAGACAGCCTTAAAATCCTCGATTTTGAGAAAAAACGTTGTTCAAAATTGCATTTTGCAGAAGCTCAGGCTCAGCTTGTTCTTAATTTGTTCTTAACTTTTGACCAGTTTTGAGGCTCGTGTTCTTATAAAATTGTTCTTATAAAAAAAGAGTGTAATCCACCTTTTCTTACTTAAAATTTCCGCGAGACTCATGCATCACTTGATAACAAATTCCTCGACATGATTGGTGGATAAAAAGTTAGGACAACATTTACTCACTGTGCCTTTGAACTGGAACGAAAAGTTCTGATTGAAAAATAAATATTGTTAAGCACTGCTCTTATGGGTATGTAGAAATGATTTAAGAAAACCGAATGCAATGAAAAATCGATACAGGGGGCCTGTTTTTTCCCGTTTTCCAAGATTCGGAGAAAGGAAACAGCAACAGTTTGAGGGACTGCAGGACCCGGGCCAAAAAACATCTGCGGGGCCCTTGTTCTTTGCAATTTCTATCTTTTTTCTTAGGTGTGGGGCCCCTTTTGGCTACCATAAGCGCAGGCCATGGCCCCCTGGACCCCCTTTAAAACTGCATCTGCAAGCAATGCGCTGGATCAACGCATTATCACTAATCTATACGTCAATTCTGTTCCAGGTATTAAAAAAGGGTAAGGCTCCTTGGATCCGTTGATAAAAAGTCTGTCTGACAAGTCCAAAACATCATCATGAAAATCAACATTTTCTGCCAGGGCTAACGATATCGCGGCTTCTGCGAGCTTTAAATGGTCTTTCTTATGGCTGTTACCAGCTGTAACCCCCCTTAGATATAAAAGAACATTCATAGTTCATAAACACATTTCGCTGAGATACCACCTGAATTAATCGTTGGGATTTCAGAATAACCGGCTTCCACACAAAAGTCTTCCATTGCAGGGCCGGCCATGCCCTCCCCCCCCCCCCACTTTTCTGCATTCCAAAAAAATTTCTAAGCAAAAGTAGAAAGAAAAGTACAATATCATTTTGGTAGTAACTGTGCCTAGTATTCCCTTAAATATGCCCTTTGCTCTCTCTAGCTTGGTTGCTATTTCTTTACCAAAGAAATCCCATATAAAATTGAATATTAGAATTTGATCGAAGAAATAGGTCATTGTCCAAGTTGTACCAAGGGGCAATTCACTCCTGCAAATAGCGTACGAGATTTTCCCTAAAAAGAAGGATTTCTGGGGATTGTCAGATAAAACAATTGGATTTTCACAAAAGGTGTACGAGTGATTTGCCCCTCGAGTTGTACAACGAGTAACAGCTTAGGAAATAGATCGCGAAACCTGATCCAGAATAACTTGGTGCCAGCACGAATTGACGAAATTTCGTTTAATAAAGGCCAAAACTTGGCTCTCAAGGTCTATTTGCTAACGAAAAATTTCTCAGAAACATTACAAATAACTGCTGGATAGAAAATGTTATGAGGACGTGAAGAATAAAGAACGGGCAGATTTGTTCTTTTAAGTATCATCAAAGTTTAATTCTATCGATAATCCATTCCTATAAAGAAAGAGAAAATCTAGATGCAATTATGAATTCTATTAAAACTCGTTTTGTCCAGCGCAGTTTTAAAGTTTTTCAAACCCCGAGTTAATTCTATCAAAAGTACTTTATTCCCGAAAAATTTAACATCACATGTTACAAAATGATATCCCAACTGTACAAATTTGCTAATCGTTTATTTTTAGTTGATAGTTCTTCTGTTGATATTTCAATGTTAATATCAAACCTTGTTTCATTTATTTTCTCCTCCATATTTTGGGTAATTTTAAAATCTAAAAGAGAGTGTCATAAAGAGCTATGTTATAAAGGTTGTTTAAAATTTTGCAAGACCTTTCCTATTTCAAGTCAACATTAAAATAGACGAGACTTCCTATGCAGACAACGTAAGGATTAGGGTAAGGAGAATTGATTAAACAAAGCTTAGACATATTGCCTTGGATTTTCCTTAAGTCAAAATCCATTTTAGATACATTCTCTGGCCTTTCCTGGGATAATAAATTCTAACACATTTCTTACCGCCATTCATGGTGGCGGCCTTTCCTGACCCCTTTCAAGACTTTGATATTTTGGCCCCTCCACTTCCAAATACGTTTCGTCGGCCCTGCATTGCTATCCACTGTTGTTTTTGGCAAAGGCTATCGAAAGTTGTCCTAACTTTTTGTCAGCCACTCAAGAGACGGGGATCGTAAACTGAATGAAAAGAAATGGAAAGAAGTTTGTACACTAGCAAAATATAGACTTGCCTGGCAAAAACATTTCAACTAGAAACCTGTGTTACACTAAGTAAATTTATCCACGAATGATATTTGCTTAACTTTGCAATTTTACAGGTCCTTTGTTTCAAATTTTCACAAATTTTAAAAACAGTACAAGATATTCAAAACAGTTTAAAGAATATGGGATTGATTTTAGCGGCATAAGCACTTTCAAGGCTAGTCAGCGACCGGCAAAGGTATGAGGCATTTAACTCCGATCCCAGTCCCAGTTGCCAAATAGAAAGGTACCTAACCTCATACTATGACGTCATGAAATTGTTTAGATATATGTTATTAGATATTATAAAAGCTTGGCAATGAAAAACTGTTCATGGACAAGATGATTTTTTTTAGGCTTTAGCGTAAATATTGGCTTCTCTCTGTTATGTGAAAGCTATATAAGATGTTACTAGTTGGCTTTAAAGGGGCCTGTGCAGTTTCTATCGATTTACTCCTTAAAATATTCAAAAAGTCTATCTTCGCTGCTCTAGCTCATTTAGACCCGAATATATGACTTCAGTGCAGTAAGATGGAGAAGTACTTAAAAAAAACATTGACAGCCTTTCAGCAGGCACCACGGAGCAGGTGGGCTGAAGGGCTTTAGCCCCCCTCCACTTTTTGCCAAAAATGCCAAATATTAAGTAATAAACTACCAGTAAAACCCCATTTTATGCGGTTTTAGCCCCCCTCTTTGTCTCAACGCTCCGCGGTGGCTGTTTCAAAACAAAAGCAACAGTAACAAATAATTAGCCTGCCACAACCCTAGGATGCTTCATGCAAAATTTTAACCAATAACTGCGTGCTCTTTATGTGCTATTTTTTGTGGTTTGGCCAACGTAAACTAAGAATACAGAAATTGTACACGGCAAAGATTATAAATATCCTAAGAGTACACTCAATGCGATGTATTGATGTAATATCTGCTTCTGTAGTTTATAATCAAATATTCATAGAGGGTGATATGGGAAATTAAAAAAGGAGCACCGTAAATGACCAGCATGGAAGTCGGTCCTCAAAGATAGTAATTCTTATTTAAATCCTTTTGCGCTGGCACACGCTACACTGTTTCACAGCCGAAAGCTACAGATGTCTATGAGCGGTATGTCTTATAACGAACAAAGAAGGGACCGCACAAAAGGAAGGGACCAGCAGAGCCATGGATCCTGCAGTTTTCAGCAAGATAAGTTATTAATGATTGATAAGCAGGCGATTTCTGCTCCATGCCACCTCATTTTGAAACTTGTTCTGCTCTTTCCTCCGAAAGAACAATTATCATGAATCTTTAACAAATAACGGGATTCGAATTGAAGTAATAAAAAGAAGAGCAAGAGTAGGTCACAAGGAAGAGGGGGAAGAGTATTCATCTGATATTATTAACATAGATTTAAGACTTGAAACTTCCTTTGAGGCTTTTTATAACGTTTATAAGTCAGATTACAAGATTACAAAACCAGTATGGAAGACTTATAGCCTACATACAGGTTCAGATGTCATGTGTTCTTCTTAAGAGGTTAGTTTTTTAGGTAAAGCAAAACAAAACTTGTATTCAAGCCAATAATATTCCAAGTGTATAGGTTTTTTTATCAAACATTTATTTGCCCATGTCCCATCGGACATATTTTTCTTACAAAAATAATAAAATTTATCCCCACTCCAACGATATCGAACAGCAAAATGGTGATAATTTTTGGCAAGCAAAAACTGAGTTTTTGGTACATAACAGCTTTTACTGCAAGGTTGAATTCGTCGTGATTCCTTTAAGACTCATCAAAACTTTTTGGTCTGCGATTAAAACAATGCTACATGATACCCTCTTATTTTTTTTCATTACATAATATATATACAAGAAAAATAATACGTGGACAACAAAGCATTATTTACATAAAAGTATAAATCACATAACAAGAGGAAGATTCTTCAATAAAAGGAACTAGATAACTGGGTTGTATTGTTCAATGCGGTCCAAAAGCTTCTCTGAATAGCCGGGGGAATAATACCTAAAATAGAACAGAAAAAAGTTGTTGGAAATTCAAGTAATACATTTATCACAACTCGGCAATAATCATAGTAAACTCTCGATAACACGAACCCTCTAGAACTTGAACATTCGCTTTCTCGAACCATTTTATTTGTCCCTTGGAGGTTCAAGTTATCGGGATTTGGGAGTATATAGTATATTCCATGCGGCTGTCTTAAAGGTACATTTCTAATTCACAAACCAAGGCCCCACATATATAAACGACGGTTTCACAGTTAGGCCATACAAAGTAAGTAAGAAAATATCTTATAACTTTCTGGTTCACTTCAAGCATGCGTGGTTGCGAAGTACATAGTTCGGGAGAACTTCAACATCTGGTTTTACTTTAAGTGAATGCACATATTGTTTAGGCATGTAAAATTTAAAAGTAAATCAAGGTCACGTATGCAGAACTCTAGACTAAAAGACAACTGCAAAACCTTCCAATAAACACTTGTGCACACTTTTGGTGTATAGAGCAGGATGATTCTAAGTCTTAAGTACCTTTTTATTAAGCTTTGAATACCCTTCAGAAAATTATGTCAACTATATATATATAGCAAATTCCACGGGTAATATAAAACAATGAAAAATTATCATTGTATCTTGGATCTTATAGAGACTCGTCTTATTTTGTCAGCTTCCGCCGCAAACGCCTAAAATAAACTAACCTGACAATTTCCTCTGGATAAGAATTATTGATTGTGTTGATGTATTCGTGTGTACTAGAGCCTTGTTCTGCCTTGATTTCTTGTATCTTTTTCAGACCACCACTTGTGACGAACAACTTTCTTGCCTTTGCATCATGTGGTAAAACCTTTGCAAACTGAGCAACCACGTGTTTTAAAATATTAGGTGGGGCATTGTGCAGTAAGGGTTCTAGAGCTGGTAAATGAATGCATTTCTGAAGCACGTTTTTGAGTGCCTTCTTCGTCTTTATCTGTAAGTCTTCTGATGAATCGGGTGCCAGATAAATACTCAGCAACTTCGGAAGGACGTTAGCAACGGCAACTGCTTTTGCATGCTCTGGGGTATGACGTCCAATTTGTCCTAACGCCCAAGCAGCGGCAGCCTAAGATTAAATTAACAATAAGATAACAAACATGCTAATGCTATCCAAAAGGTTTATTTGGTTGAAAATGAATCAAAACCCAATGATAGGACTCTGGATAATTTTTCTTTAAAAAAATGTGAAAAAAGCAACGAACGGCATTCTAACACCGTTTCAAAGTACCACACACACAGAGAATTGTTCCGTTTTTCAAAAAGTTTTTGTATTTTGATCAAGATAAGTTCTATTCTAGGCAGTAAGGCAGCGATATCATAAACTGCCTATTTTCATAATGAAAGCTGGTATTGCTGCTTTAACAATCTAATTCACATGCAGGAAAGCAAAAAACAAGTAGTAAGAGAATTCAATGTTTTGCAGTGCATCAGCTTTCAGGACTGTTATCACTAATCATAACTCCAAGTCTGATTCGTTTTATTTCGACCCACCAAGTTTGGCAGCAAGTCCTTGCTAGCACCCAATCGCAACCACCCGTGTAAGAACCTAACATTTTTAAGTTCTCTAGAGAACCTCCATTGACAGGTTCTTACCAGTGCCTTGCTTAACAAATCAAAGTCTAATGAAATTATAAGATGATACCGTGGTAAAATTAATTTCTAATAAACATTCATAGACGCTGCTTTATAGATTGAAGCAAGTTGGTATCTGACTAGACTTTAAAAAAACTACAGGACTGGATCCTCTTCGTATTGGGGTATTGGCATCATTGCTGGTATTCAATGAGCCATTTACAACATAATCTATTTTTGACCTACAGAGTAAGACCTTTGGAAGACAATGACTCCTCGCATGATTTTTATTGTATGAAGAAAAACAAACGTAAAGGGGCAATAAATCTTACCACGATGTGATCCTCATTTTCTTCAGATAGAACAACTGCCAAAGCAACAACTCCCTAAAAATACAAATAAGTTTTACATGGTTTCGTAGGGACTTGTGTGGAGATTTGGCTACAAGATACGGAAATGGACAACCATAAAACCTTTCCATCTCCTGAAAACTGTTTCATTTATCTTTGGTAGCCTTTGAATATTACTTGCTCTCTGTGCAACGGGCGTATTCTTAAAGACCAACAAACTAGCATCTATCTATGATATTAGCAGACATGCATCCCAAACTAGCCATGGCGACAGTCTGAATTCACATAAAGTAGTAGAATGCAGTTACGTAAGAAATAAGACTGAGCACACGGCAAGGATTTTGAACCAATACAAAAAGAACCATATCCGTCCATCGAAACCTTTAAAATTGCACCAGATCAAAAATAGTCAATAAACAGCTGAACGATATGATGGATCCATTGCTGTTCGTTAGAATAGCAAAAACCAAGGTTGTAAAAGATAAACACACGAAAATACCTTCGATACGATAACTGCCATTGCAAGGTTTTCAGATTGTGCTCCAACGTAGCCAAGCATCATAACTCCAGGCAGCCGGATATTGCCTCTGGTTTCTGTTACATAATCCACAACAGCAGCAACGCCACCAGCGTTAACTATTAATTGGGCGAGCTGTAGAATAAGAATTATAAATTGATAAACTGCTGTAATCGCAAGTAATCATCTTGACTAACTTTTTTACTGCCTTCCTTCCTTGCGATCCCCACTGCACCTAAGTCAAGGTTGCCTTAACTCAAATTAAAAAATTTATGCCGGGCAAATAATTTGTCTTTTCAGGTAGCCAGATTTCAAAGTCTTCTTCCTCATTCATAAAAAGAATAGACTACCAATGGTTTTTGACCTGTAGCAAAAACGTTGTTAAAAGAAATAAAAAGCAGCGATGCGCCTTCACAATGAACTGCATTTTAGGCCTACAATTATAAAAAATTATGTTTTCTTTGTATATTCTTTTTATTGCAAGATATTGTATATTGAGGTAAAGGCTGCGTAGATCTACCATTTTGAAATTAAGGTTTTCCATGTCGCACTTGAGTGCTTCTCTTACAATTCACACGCCTACTAAATATATTGCACGTTTTGACTAAAATTGTTTTTGCAGCCGAAGTCCATTTAAACTTACCTCGGGTGTGTGCTTGGCAACTTCTCTTATCAAAATGGCTACGTTCTTTTTCACATATTCATCTGTATCTAGAGAACAAAATAGGAAACATGTTGAAAAAACAATCTTGCAGAATTGAACAACATGAAACCCAGAAAATCTGAACGAACTTTTGGACAGGAATACGAGTATTCTGGGGTATTGAAAGTAGTGACGTGATCTACTGGACGGTTGATTTTGTCGGGTGCCAGCGAAAATGACATACCGGAATAAAAAACCCGAAATATCTACGTAGATTTCTGAGTCACGAGTTATATAACTACAACTTTGTATCTTTTTTATGTCTCACACAAGCTACCACCCCCTTACAACAGTCAAGGGACACTTTACCCTTTCCCATTCTTGCTTTAAGCAGCAATTTGGTCTTAGTGACTCTTTTTTTGTTACTTTTCCTGCAAACTTTCTTTAATTCGATACATTTTTGTTGTCATTACTTCAGTCAACTTGGTGTTATTCAAGCCCTTTGGGGGGTGGGGGGGCGGGGGTGATTAGTAAATATGTTCAAATTACAATTTTATGGAATGGAGTACTTGTAACCCCCCGCTAATTTCTCAAAATTTGCAGAAAGTTCACATTAGAAAGATCAGTTGTTTCTTTCAAAACACTGAAAAAATTGGTCGATTAACAAAGTCTTCAAATCATAGAGTTTCGAATTGCAGCAATATTGTTTTTAGGAAATTTTCAAGAGACCTGAGAATTTTGTTCAAAAATTTGTTTAAGATCCAGATTGCTTCACCTTAATTTGATCAATATGATATTGTATTCTATTCAAAAGCTACTATAAATAAAAATGGTAAACGTAACTCTTAGTCTACTTCAAAGTCTTTAAATCTGTAGAGAATGCTGTGAAATTTCTATTATATTCAAGACCATAAAAAACTAAAAAATCTTTCTAGCCCTATCTTATAATACTCAAAAATGAGAAATTATTTGGTCATATTGTAACTAAATCAACCTTTTATTAACATGTAGCATGGATTTAATCATAGTATCAAAAAGTTACCTTTCAAACAGGTGAGGACAGCTGGAAAAATCTCTGCTTCAACCACCATTTCAGCCAAATCAACAGAATGCTTGGCTATCTGGCTCAAGGCTGAGAAAACTTGGCGCTGAAAGAAGAAAAAGACAACCATGATTTTTGGAATTGTAATACTACCAAGTTAAAATTATTTGCTATTCTACAAACAGTTGCCATGAAAGCTTAAATTTTACTTTATCAATAGCACTTTAATTATATTAAGTGTGTGTACTCTACAATCTTTGAAATAGCTGCCAAGACAAATGTTTCATTCAAGACATGTCAGGTGGCATGCCTGTCAAGTCTATGATTTACCCCACTTCCCAATTTCAAAATGGCAGCATTTGAATGCTTTATTAGCTTAGATAAAAACACTCAAAAGGAGATGATTGAAAATATTGCTAAGGTTCTATAAAGAGTTGAATTTAGACAGATTTAAAACCAAACAAACCTTTAACTTTGCATCTGGATTGAGAATCATTTGTGCAAGGTGAGAAATGGCACCAGCATCGACAACTGTTTGTGCCAGCTATAATCAACAAAACATAAAATTAACTAATAGCTTGTTTATTGTAGATCTATTGCACTATAAGCATTTGTTTGATTATAAAAGAAATAAATTTCAAGTCCATGTAATAATCTTTCAACATTTTCTGCTGAGTTTGGAACAATATATACATGTTCTAATAAAGAACTATTAAAAATTCTCAAGAAAAGATTTTCAAAATTCGAACAATTTACCCTCATAAGTAATAAACATTCTTAAGCATCTTGAGCAAGTATTGTGAATCAATGAACATAAGGACAATTAAAAGTATCAAATAAACAACATAACAAATTAAGTAAACAGTAGATCAAACACATTCAGAAACAAAAACTCGATATGTATGAACCAATGAAGATCATCTTTTCAAAGCCATCCACAATCCCTACCAGATTTTTGGTTGAGGACAAATACAACAATTTGATACATGTCAAAACATGTTAAAAATTAAAATGATGTTTTACAGGAAATAGATTTTTCATGAATAAGATAAAGACTTGAATTCACATACCTCTGGTGAATGCTTGCAAATATCACTTAATGCGGAGGCAGCAATTCTTTTGACAGACAATTCAGGCTCTTGAACACAGAGCACCAGTAAAGGAACAGCTCCAGCATCAACGATGGATTGTGCTAGCTCTTTATGTGTGAAAGGAGTGAATGTTTAAGAAAAATTAACAACATTTCAGCTAAATCGTAAATCAAATTCAAAGTGTCAAAAGCCTTTATTCTATAAGCTCTGGCAAAAAGCTTAAAATATTAACATAATCAATGCTGAAGTGGTTACCCTAAATCATTCTTATGCAGTAACACTAGATTGGATTGTTTTGTGGTAAATAAATTTTTTCCCAGATTAACACTGTTTGTGACAGGATTGGAGAATAATTATATTGTATATAAGTAAAATATAAAGATCCAGTCAACATGTGGCTTGAAAGGTGACAGCATTCATGACTTAATACAATAAAAACAAATAATTTTATAGCACATATTTAGACATCACATAATGATCGTAAAAATAATTTTGGAAGGGAATTACCAGTGTTGTGTTTTGCTACATATCCTAGTGCCCAAGCTGCTGCCTCCTTTACACCAGGATCGAATTCCTCCAGACAAATAACCAGTGCATCAAGAGCTCCACAATCCACAACAGACTGTAGAAAAACAAAAATGAAACTTTATATGATAATAACAATTTGATAACAGTAGCTTGTCAGTTATATCTAGTTAAAAAACAATTTTACAAAAATGATATTCAAATTGAAATGTTGTGACACAAAGAGCTTTTAACAATTGAAGAAAAAAAGATAAGATATCAAAAATTAATATGAGGTTCAATGTACCTTGTTTTGTCAAACCAATAAAAACTATGAAGATGCGACTTATCACTTTTAAGTTTCAACACAAAGTAAGTTCCAGCATCAGAAAAAGAATAAGTTATACCTGAGCTAGCTGAGGTGAATGCTTTGCCACTGCTCTCAACACAAATGCTGCTGCTTTTTTGTAGAATCTCTGCAAAGGTGCATCCACATTAGATATTTTAATATGTAAATACCATTGAAATTAGTTTAATTGATGTGAAATTTCAATAGAAATTCAGAAGACAATTTTTGATATAGCATTTGTTCATTTTATTATTTCAGCACCACTTACATTTTGCTCTGCAAGAGAGTAAACCAGCTGAGGCAGGATATCTGCTCTTACAACTGCTTCAGCTAGATCGTCATTGTAGTTGGCCAGTCGGCCAAGAGCTAGTGCTGATGTCTGTTGAATCGTTGGAACAACATCCAGTAGAAGTGGTCTGAGTAATGCCATGACACCTAGCAAATTACAGAACAAGTTATAATACACATTTTCAATGTATGCACATCTGTTGTCTTATATATACTGTTGAGACTAGTACCATATTATCAAGTCTTACTTTTTATCTCACTGAGGAAAACAATTATGTTTAACCATTTAGTCTAATTGTACTCAGTCAGACATTTAGAAGGACCCCCACAGTTCTAGTTTTTAATTTTTTGGGTATGTTTTATCTGTGAGTTCCCCCTAATCAAAGATGGCTAAAGAATTTTATTTTGGCAAAAGACTTGTTTCTTCATAACTGTTTTTACCTGCATACAACCTTTTATGTGTTAAATAACTTGTTATATATATTTGTTCATATATATAGCTTAAATTTTCTGGCTTAATGTAGTTATGCAAATTGCTTCTTTCTGTAAAACTTTACATTCTATCTCAAGACTGAGTTTTTTCTTTTCATTTCAACCAGATGAAAAGAGTTGATGCAATATCAAATTTAAGGTTCGTTCATATCTTAAAGCCAATGTTGTGACTTTGGCACTCGGAACAAGGCAAAAACTATCTACTTTAAACATTTAACTCATCATCATATCCTCAAATGTTTCCAATCTTCAGCCATACCTGCATTTTGTAAAGTTTCAATGTTTTGAGGTCTTGAAGCAAGCTCTGCAACCGTTTGTACAAACGTTGTTCTTGCCTTCTGATACTGTTCAAATACTAGAAAAAAGAAAAAATAAGTTCGGGATATGAAAATAATATTATCGAACACAATAGAAGAAAATTAAAAACAGGTCTGGTTAAAAAGCAAGTACACAATATCTGATAGTAGAATCTGGTCCTCTGAACAGTGACTGTCGCTGGGAATGTGCCAAGCTTTTCAAACCTGGGCCTAATAATTGGGTAGTAAAGTAGTAAGTATGCGCGATGCGGGTTCGTGTTTCGAAATTTAAGCTGTCGAGAAGAAACATATCTCATACAAGCTCATATGAAACGAAACCTTTCTTACCTTGAAGTACCTGTCTTGTTGTCATTTTTCGCTGTTTTTTATTAGCCCTGATCTCTGACAAGCAACTTGAATCGACTTTAGGAAAGAACTGTCGGTCGTGGTCAAACTTAGTGTAATGTTGCCAGGCAGCACCGTAGCAACACTGATAAACGACATGGCAAATACGAGGTTGGTTTTCACAAGAAACCTCGTTTTCCTCTAAAAACATCAAATTTTTTCCATAGATTGTGGAATGTGCATTTTTTTGCTAAATTCCTAATCCAAAGATTAAGTAGAATTATTTTTTGCATCAAAATGAAAAGTTTTGAGAAACAATTTCACAATTTAGTGCTAGAACTGAAGTGCATAATCGACAAATTTAAGGCTAGTTCATATCTTAAAGTTGTTATTTTGCTCGGAACAAATAATTTTAACTGTATTTTGGTTACGTGATTGTCGATAGAGATTTTCAGTTCATAGTATAGAATTTAAAGAAGGATACAAAAATCAAATAGGAATTTCTGGAACATTGAAAAACTTTTAACATCGATTCTTTGAGGTTAATATACAGTTTTACAACTAAATAGATCCTTTCATAAAAAGAAAATACTGCATGTTGATATTTCCGGATAACACGTCAAATTAACTACACGTTATGAAAGGTTTATCCAATTCCAATTTTATACTTTAGCCTCTTCTTAATTTGTTCCAAATCTTTGACCTGTTTTGAAACTTGTGTTGTTAAGAATTGCTCTTAAAAAGAGGGTACATCATGTAGTGTGGCCAACGTGGACGGATTGGAGTGGCAAGGCGAGCAGAGCACGAAGAAATAGCCCCTTGATAGAACCGACATAGTCCCCTTTCTCAGCGTATGTAAATATCATTTCATAATTTAGAAGTAGCCCCGCCCCCTCTCACAGTTATGCAATCGCTTCCTATAAATTATCCTTCCTATAATTTTTTAAATGGGGTAATTTGCAACAACATGAGAATTCCAATTCTGTAATCAATTTTTGGCAAATATGAAGATGAAAAATTCCCCAAAGCCGAAAAGGTGATTTTATTAGTAAATCTTAAAAAATTTAACCTGCAACGAAAGAGGACTCCCTTCTGGGGAGTTTGTTTCCAGGCTCCGCCAAGGAGTACACATTTCACAACAACCATAGCAACAACATTATCGAGAAAATGGCCGCCGCAAAGGAGCCTGCTTTGCTAAACTCTTACGATTTAACAGGACTTCTTGCTCCTGAACAAGAAAGGAATGTTCCAAATCATTTAATAGATACAAGTAAGTTGATCGAAGGAACTTTTTGTGTCTCTTTTGCTGTAAAGATTTGGTGTAACACTGAACTCGGTCCGACAGGCTAACTGCTTTGCGCTTATGGCAATGGAAGTTCTCAAAATACTCTTAACCTAAAATAACTAATTGTCAAAATTTACTCTTTGCTCTGAAATTGTGTTATTCGTGTTTTATCTTAATTATATGATTTGTTGTATGACATTAGGTTTTGTTCTGTGTGTGAGTTAGTCTTATCTTTTTATCAAAATGACTAAAATGTCACTGTCAAGTGTAAAGTCGGGTTCAGTAAGTTTTTTTGGAATTGAAAAAAATATCTGCATTTCATAACATATTCAAAAATGTTCAAATACAAAAGGGCCTTAAAAAACCATGGAAAAGACAAATTTCTGACTTATTACTAATGACATAAACATCCCGAGATAATAGAAGATGTGACAAATATTGTTTAGCTTTAAATGCCAATGAAAATCTAAGGCAGGCCCATTAATTAAAAAAGACTAGCAATTGGTTACAGGGGGAAGTGGGACACCTGTCTTTAATGGCCAGGTCTGGCCATAAGGGATTAATTTATTGACAATTGGTGTCTTGAATGTTGTAAGTATTTGTAAAAGGCTTATAAGGGTGTGTTAATGCTTTGAAACCACAGCAATGAAAACAAAATGTTTACAGTGATAAAAACAATGCTCAAAGGTCTGACAGACTGAATTTTGTCTTCTTCTTTGCTGTTTAAAATGAAAATGTTACATTTGGAATCTTTGAAAAATTAAATATCATGATTGTTTCCTCAAATTGATTATTTTGCAATTCTAACAATTTTACCTCTATTTCCAAGCCACACCAATGATTCTTTTTTCTGGTAGTCCTAGAATCTGTCCCTGCCAAAGTTTTTAGTCTGATACATGTACAAAGTGAAAGTATTTTTTCAATGAAACTATGTAGAGCTCAAGGTGAATTCTTTCCTTGATTAGTTTAGCTGCTGAGAGAGCTCCTCCTTAAAGATTTCTCATACCTACTAAATTGTTATTATTTTCATTGTAATCTCATTATCTTGTATTCTGATTTTGTAGTTGTGGTTGATTGTAGGTGATATAATTTCTAAAACGAACATAAATGGACATGAAAGGTGTAAGGTCTAGTATTTGCCCCACAAACTATTTACATATAGACAACAAAAGCTGTTTGCAAGCCTCTATTTGTTTGTCAATCCAATAGTCTCCATTTCTCAAGTATTTTAATTCTTAGAATATTTGAGAACTTAAGTTGCTTAGCACAAATTGTTGCCTATGTAGTCACTCTACTAACAACATTTTTATATTGTGTATACTCATTGTAGCTATAATTTTTTTAGAAATATTTGCCAAACTTGGACATAATGAATTACTGCACACCAGTCCAGCAACTATTGAATTCAATGGGTTTGAAGTAGGAAAGGTTCAGTCCAAGTCTCTGGTATGTACTTTTTGATGAAATGTAAAAGTACTGATTTCAAAAGTATACCCTAGCTGCTAGTCCTCTTCTGAAAGTACCTCAGCATTTAGGCATTTAGTTTGTAGATTCAATTAATTAACAATTATTATATGCAAATACACAATTACTGGGATTTTGAAAAGCAAAATATCTTGCAAATGAATTTGAGCTTGGAATTTGTCTATTCATTTTAATAATTACAGAACATACATCCTACTATACTTAAAAAAGTTACTATACTACACTAAATGAACAATACCCAGTCCTGTTAGTATAAAGTGCCTCCACACATGCCTAAAACTGCAGAAGCATTCTTTTTATCACACAGGCAGTTCCATGTTTTGACTTACATATCACACAGGCGTTATCTGGATAGCATTTCCAGGGGCTTTCCAGCTTTGTAAGGCCAGGTTTCCATAACTCTGTTTTTGTATATTATATTTCTCTGTTTTTCTCTTTCAATTTTCGTATTTTCTTGAATATATTACCCTGAGCCATTTTGGTCAAAATGATATCGTGGGTGTTTTCATTACTCCATTTTTATCCGTTATCATATCCTTTGTTCAAGCTCTTTTTGCCGAGATTGAATGCTCTGTTTTCAAATGCCACTGCCTTCGCAGTTCCCAATAAAATGATGCATTTTCAAATGATTCTGCTTTTGAATGACTCTACTTTGAACAGCGTTTTTGAACAGCGTTTCAGATGATTCCATTTTTGAGCGTATTAATGGGGCTCAAAATATAACATTCATTTGAATTGGTTCTCACACAAAAACAGATTAATGGTAACAGAGCCTAAAAGTTTTTATGCTTTTTGTTAAATTATTTTTTTTTCAAGAAACTTCTTCTAAATTTTGTAAAAATTATTTGGTTGTATGAAAACCTCGAACGCTTTTTCAAACAGTGATACACCCCTTCAAATACATTCATGGCATTTAAACAGCCATCAGATCTTCATGAAATGGTAAGGTCTCCATTTTATGGATCACACGACTTTGCACACCATCACACGCCTAAACTTTTCAAGGCATGCAATTGCCAGCATGCCAACAAATTTCATATTACCAGGACTGAATACCATTGGGATCAAAAAGCAATGACTACCTTTTGACCAATACATAAAGTTCTTTTAATGAAAATATAAGAACAATGTAATTAGTCTAGAACAACTAATTACAAATACAATATACATTAAAACTGATGCTGATGTTGGGGAGTTTGCAGCATTGATGTATTTAAAAGTATTCTGTAGCACAAAAGAATTGAGGGTTGCTTCAAGCTTAGAATGTTGTAGAACATTAAACATGGCAAACTTTTCAGGTGTTATTTTAGCATATCACCATTTTGAGTTCTGTTGGCTTTCCACTCAAGACAGTTTTCCCATTCTGTTACAAATGTTGAAATGTTCAAAGGTATTCAACACTTGTTTTTTCTCTCCATGAGACCAAAATTTATGTGAAATATTCCTATATTTGAGGATCATCCTTATTACCTGAAATAAAAGTGTGAATAATTTGTTAACAAAAAGTAAAGAAAAATTAACAAATCTGATCTTTCATCCAATGTAGAGAATAATAAATGCATCTGCAGAGAGACAAAGAATGCACATTGTTCCACCTACTTCACGAAACTTCAGAATTAAATACACCAAAGAGGTATATTATTCTCAGTTCTCATGGTAAAATTTTCAGTTTCTCTGTGTTAGATTTACTCTTGATTGATGGTAGTTTTCAGCATATCAACTTGTTTCACTCTTGGGGTCTTCTTAAATTTGATATGTCAGTGAAGGAATACTGTGACTTGCAAGCTCTTACTCATGTCAGACTGGAAATTAAGATACTGGTTGGAAACAAGCATTTTACAGAACACTTTAAAAGGTTGATAAACATGTCAACTTGACATTGATTACTGTAACTGTTAATATCTTAGCTTGTGTGCTCTTACTGTCTTTATCTGAGCAACCTTACCTTATATAAACCCAGTTGTCATTGTGACTATGATGCATTTATTTATTGGCAATTTTTATTTTGCCAACACAACTCATTTATAAAAAAAATATATCTCTGTTTAAGGACACTCTGGTACCAGGGCTGCATCTTGAAGTGAAAGTTCTTTTTAGAGGGTCAGAATACAAATATTATAAAGACTGTATTCGAATCCACAGCAAGGTAAATTTGCACTCATTATCATTATTAACCCAACATTAAAAACATTACAGAGGTAGCAGATAGCACAGTGAATCACATATTTTTCTTCAAGTAGCTTTGTACAATAGAATTTGATTTACTATTTACAGAGGGGTTCCCTTTGTTTTTCTTGTTTATTATATGGTGCTGAACCCAATGCTGAATTTAACTAGGGATCCAGTGAAAATATTTTGAGAAGAAACTTTTGCTTGCTGACCACCTTAGAGCTAAACATTTTTCCCAAGTCCTTTGTTGCTGAAATTTAAATTGTCAACGATCAATGTACTTAAATCTACAATTTCCTCCTTTTTACAAAATCAATGTACCTCTACTTGTTCTTTTAAGGTGCATGTTTGTGCCTCTTTAAACACTGACTGATGTGCAATGAATGAAAGACTCTTCTTATCATATCTTTTTCTTAATTTTTAGGCCAAAGAAAATCTTATTGTACCACTTTATGCTTATCCAGTAATGAATATTGATGCCTTTCCAGACAACCTTCATTTCCCACCTACTCCAATCGGTCATCGGTAAGGCATCAAAGGCATCTAGCTGCTTTGTGTTGATTTCATGAACTTTTCTCCCTTGATGTCTCTATATGCTGAAATAAAGAGACAAACATTTCAACCCCAGGAAAGATAAAATATCTCATCATTTGCTGTTTGAATTTTTTTGAATTATTAATTTCTAGTATCCCTCTTGTCTGAGAAGCTCATAGCAGAGAAATACTCCAAACAGAATTAATTTTCATTGTATCTCCTAATGCAATAAATGTGTGCTGCCTTTAGCTAGCTTATTGTTATATCATCAACGATATAATTTATTTTATATTCTAGGAGAACGAAATCAATACCTCTCCAATGCAATGTTCAGGTTGATTTTGAGTTCAGGATTTCTGTGATACAAAACCACTCTTCGTTTACTATAAACCCCATGTCAGGTAATTCATTCTTGTATACGTATTAACAAGAAGTATTTGAACTTAAAATTTAGCAATGAACAGTGAACACATCAATGCATTTTGAATGGGGGACCAATATATAGATCTAAGGGGCTCAGGGATGCTGGGTATATTAATACCATTTTTGCAAAGGCCCCTTTTGTCTTGGTCATACAATGCACCACAGATGGAAAGAGACTAATTAATGCAAGGAAAGTTATTTGATGAAGTGCGGCTTATTTTGAATCTAGTCGCGTAAGTTTTGTTTTAAAATTTCTGTCAGATAAAGCTAAAGATTTTTGTTGACACGAGAAAGTAAAGTAGATCATGATGTACTGGAAGGAAGTAGGTTTTAGGTTTTAAATAAATATAGCTGTGTTTATGAATCATAAGATCTGGAAGTATTTAGATATGTTGTTTGGGGGGTATTGTGGCTAGCAGAACCCACTCATCTCACGAGAGAGTCAATTAAAGCTGCTGTTCACGTATGGCATTTCCTTGCGGAAACTTCCGCGATGATAATCATTTCCGCAGAAGAAGCATAATCTGCAATCTGTAAAAGTAGGGAAACACATTGTCTGTTATAAATGTGGTTATGTATTCATGGACAGTATTTACCAATCAAGCATTTAATTGATTGAGAGATATTGTTGCGTCCTGCCCGAAACCAAGTCTTTGATCTGCCAAATCTTTAGCTAGAGTCTCTCCACAGTGAAAGCTTGAAATGGTATCCTGACATAAAACCACAGTTCTGTAGATTTAAGTTATCTAAATTCTTAAAATTCTTTCAACGCTAAAACTGAATTCTAACTAAAACACAGAAGTTTTTTATCCCAGGAAGAATTAGTTTTTCTTAGAAACCAGCTAAATAGTGCAACCTATCACTTGACATAAGATTAATGTTTCCTTTATTAGAATTTGCTAGTATTCAAAACGTTAAATTTTTCTATATTTTGAATGTATAATTACTTTAAGTAATTAATGTACTTTATTTTGCCCAGGATTTATTTGTGGTGGCAACAAAGTAGACATCGAAATAGCTTTCACCCCAGAAGAATACTCTACAGCCCAGATGCAATTTCAAGTTTTGGTTTCTGAGTTTAACGCGAAACCATTGATATGCTCAGTCACAGGGACGTCTATTCCGGGATTGGCTAAAGAGTAAGTAATGTTCGTGTTATTGTACGAGAAAACTAGCAGGACCTTTGTAGCGAATCCTATTGGTCTAAATTGACATGTGACAATTATTGGGCGAGTGTGATTGGTCAACCCTTGCACATGATAAAGATTAAGTCTTTAGTGGATGTGATTGACAGATGAAAATAAAACTATCAATCAAATTTCAATTCACTAAATACGGGGAACTTTTTTAAAACATATTTAGTGCCAAATCTAAAATAATCGTAGTAGTGAGAAGTCTGTGTCATGTTCAAATATTCCATTTATGAAAACCTAAGACTTGTTTAATGATATAAAAGTAGCAAAATTTGTATCAAATTTGTACTTTCAGGAAATTTTTGTAATGCATGGTTTAATTACTATAGGTTCATGCGTGGTATTTCTAGCATCTGTGAAATCATTTTATACTAAATCTTAAAGACTATCTAGCGATATACATTTGTTCCTGTCTTTGGTAGCGTTGTGGCTGTACCAAATGAAGAATTTCTATATCTAAAATTACATAACAATTTAAAAAAAACTTGATAATGAGTGTCTTTCATTAATGTCCAAATTTTTTGGCGAAGTTTCTTGACTTAATGTTGTGGTGAAGTCACTGGCTGTGTGATTCCTCAAGAGTTTAAAAAAGCTTTTTAAATATTTGGAAAACTGCACCGATAGGAACTTAGATCAAATTTTGGGTATCCATTGCTAAAAATATTGTGGTAATATTAACGTGCTATATTTAGCAGGAACATTCTAAAGCAATTTTGAAATAAAGTTAAAAACCAAAATTTAATAGACCAGGTGCATAGATAAGACAAATATCTATTTTGTGTTACATTTCAGACAATTTCAGCAAACTATAGAAACTAACCCACCGCTCATGCCAAACACTATTGAAGGCACTGTCGATCCAAGAGCGTTGAGTCCTCTAAACAGATCAAGAAACAGGAAAGCTGAACGAAAGAAGCCTGGTAACCAGTTTCAGAATCCATCAACGACGGTAAGGGAATTTTTATGAAATTTCATGGTACCAGGTGGTCATGAAAATGTTAATTCTATTTCTATTTCAGACATTTTGAGGCGTGAAAGAAACTTAAATTTGAAGTCTGTCTGATAATTTATTTACGTTTTTAGGCTTTTTGCACATCAGAAAATGCCTGCAAAATTTTACAACGAGTTTGAAGCACAATAACTCTAACACCCTGTGAAAACTGGTTTCTCAGCCAGGGGATCAAATTTTGAAATTTTTTACCACTAGTCTCGAAAGCTTATTTGAAAGTTAATATTAACTGATCAGTAACTGAGTCTTCAATGCCACTCAACTGGATCCGTGTAGAGCAAGATGGTTCTCATTTGTTGCTCTAAGCTTCATAAATGTGATTTCAAAGTAGATCATACAAAGCATATTTCCTTGTGTAATTCTAGGAAATCATACAGGATGGCGTCAGGTTTCCCGCCAACTTAAACAACCCTGCAGCTGTCGCCAATGTACTAACTCAGAAAACTGGCAAACTCAAAGCAAAAGATCTTAGAGAAGGTACTTTGACATTTCATACCTAATTTCATCGCTACGTCAGCAAATTTACAACTCGAATTTTACCGGAAAAATTTCATGATCAGCAATTTTCCTTTCATATCTTGAATTTTTTACCAACCTTTCGGTTGCTCACAATTAGTACTGTCTTTGAAATTTTGGTTTTAACAGTTGTTTACTTTTCGTCTAGTTCCTTTGAAAAACATTTTCCTTTTCAATTACTCTTATCGTAAAGGCTTGATTTTAGAATAGCGAAAACAGGTACATTTTATTAATGAGAATATGCATAGTCTCGCCAAATGCGTTGCTTTTTGTGCTTATTAAATTATTAACTATAAGGCATTGGTATGTCAAATTCAAATGAAAATGCCAAAAAAGCTACTAGAAGATAAATAATAAGATAATATCAAGTATTCAGCAAAATATTTTGAAATCTGTTTGCATCACAATAAAGCTTTGGTAGATAAACCAGAGTTTGTTGACACACCAGGAGCTCTCTTATGCGTCAGAAACCCTTTCCTAGTTACAGCCATTTCAGAATTTACCCGGTGAGTCCATTTTCACCTTAGGCCCATTTCTATCCACAACTCTGTATATAATTTCCTAGCTTAGAGTTTCCATAGATGTTCTGACGTTTTATACTCAGGTGAAAAGCTAAAGTGTCAGACGAAAAGCTTCAGTATGTTTCAAAATGTCTGCTCTTTTCAAAGCCATATTTGTATTGTACCAAAACTAGTTATTCAGCATATAATCTTTAAATGATCGCTGGAAGCATTCTCAGAATTATCACTTGTTTTATTACAGCCGTTAGGTTGCAGGAAAAAAGCTCAGTGACGACAAAGCAGATGAAGGTGGGCAATTCTTATGTCAATTTCGGTTCTTTCATATTGCCCAAAAAATGACTTTGTCAAGAATTGATACCCTTGCTGTATTCATATTATTTCAATACATCAGTTGCAAAAAAGATTGGACTTTTCATGATTATTTTATCGCAACTTTCCAAAACCAAGTGGTTTTAATATCTATGTTTTATTGACTAGGAGGCAGTATTTGAGCATCTTGTGGGTCGGGCAATAGCGGAAGAGGAAAGAAATCAGATGAGATGGTAAGATATAATGTATGCATTGATGACTGATCAGCTTTAAACCCTCTTCTACGACAATCAAAATTTCTACTTGTTGTGATAACCATCACCACCCAAGCAGGGGCGTAGCTCCTGGGGTGTGTATGTAGGGGGATTGTTTCTAAACCCCTTCACCAATGTTTCCAAACAGTGAAAAAATTCGGACAAATACTCGGAAATAAAAATCTTAAGAGTACATATAAATAATATAACTATATTATTCATTTATATATATTTATTTATTTTAATTGAAATAAGATACATTGCATTAACTATTTTATGTTTATCATTTAAATCTTTATTGATTGAATATTTTAGAAATTTATGGCAAGCAGGAAATTAGGGCAACAATTTTTTGACTGATGAATAAAGAAGGCAATGGAACTTGTTTGTTTTTTTTATAGAACTTGTTTATTGTTTATTGTTAATTTGACTTTTATTTTCGAAAGCAACGTTATATTTATCACCTGGATATCATCATGTTTCCTTCCCTCTGATAGTTTAACATGAGCTATAACTGTAACATTATCTAGCAACCAGTTATATGCTTTGTGATACTCGTGTTTTGTCCCAGCAATTTTTTAACATTACGTGGCAATCATTTTTCTTAATTTTGATGTTGTTCATGCGATTTTTCAGGTGTGTTAAGCTTGGGGATGATCCTTTATCAAGCCTAGGACAAGAAAAAGTAATCAACGATCGAGAAAAGGCTGTTGCTGAGTACCATGTATGTCAATTTATTTCAAATATTTATATTCCAATCACAAGTGCTAAGAATTAGTTTAATCAAATCGTAATTCTAGTGCAACACAACTTAAGCAGAACATTGAAAAACATTTGCATTTGCTCAACGGCACTATCAAGAGACTTTGCTTTTGATTCTTTAGCCTGCCTTTTTTAATCAGAAATTCACTCCCACCCATTTTCTTTTCAGTTCCAGCAGCAGAGTCTAGACAGAATATCCACTATCAAAATCAATGTTTCATGAATATTATATGTTTGTAATGTACAAATTGAACTGTAAACATGTTTTTGACGTGCAAAAATGTTGCTAAAAAAGCTGTTTCTTCAAGCTGTAATATAATCTTCAAGATTAAAATTCCTTCTTAATTGATACATTTAAATTGAGTTTCCTAAGACAGGTGAATTTTTTTAGCTTTTTTGAAGAACTTGCCTTCAGCTCATGCATTGAAATACAATAACGACACTGCTTCGTCAATTTTTAACAGATCCAGCGTGGAGACCCGCAGATGGAACAGGAATTCAACAGATCAGTGACGCTGGTCTCTGTTTCAAGAATCCACAGACAGGCTTTGGAGGTAGCCGCACATGCAACTTTAAACTACCATTACACGCGTCTTTTCAAAATTCACATATATGCTTATTTAAGATATGGACCTAAGAGAATATTTGACGTATGTATGTTTGTATAATTCGCCACACTAAAAGCATTTACAAGTTATAAAAGTTAAAAGAATATAATACAATAATTTTCATTACAACAAAAAGATAAACACCCCTAGTTTCAGTGGCAGGGAAAGCATTAAAAGGTCTAGCAGGCCTTATTTCGATAATGGTCTCCTTAGAGGTGCTGGCTTATCAGGAAAACCAAGAATCGTAATAGACCAATTCGACTTACGACCTCGTTTTGGAAATTTCTCCAAACTTCATTATACGACTTTTTTAAGCTCAGATTTGGTTTTGTCGTCATTATTTTAGGCAGGATACCATTTTTCATACTGTTTAAGCTTGTATTTTAGATTTTACCGAGAAATGAAGTTTGAAAAATTGTAAGGGATTTGACCGCAAAAATCGTTCCGGGGGAAACTTTACCCCACTAGTCGCCAATCACGGTCAAATCCCTTATAAAGTTTTATCTTCATGTCGTCATGAAATCAATATCGTGAGCAATATCATAATGAAAACTTACAAGTAGACTAAAATCATTGCTGTCAATCCGAATCTGAGGTCAAAAATTTTGTACAAAAGAATTTGAAGAATTTTTCAAAATGAGGCCGTAAGTCGAATTGGTGTATTTCTGAGGATTAAGTCATTTTGACCACGGTATCAAAAACCAGTAAGCAATCTCTCAAAAGGGAAATACAAATTGTTAATGCCACCCAGTTGTTCTTTATCATTACACATCCAGACAACACAATTGATACCCAATGTATAAAAGTGCATTATTTTCAAATGACTTTGATCTTGACTTCTTGAAGTTCTATTGCTTCTGAAACTAGCACTGGTTTTTCCATTTAGTATGCCAATGATGAACCATCATTTGACATTTATGCCAACGACATCTGGAGTAAGAGACACTCGACATTGGGCAAATTTGTTCAGGCCGCAAGAAAGGTGTGTCTTCCTGCTTTTGTTATCGTTGATGAATCATTTTACAGATGCCAGGTTTTGACTTTCGTTGAGTGATTCAAAACTCAGCAAAACTTTCATAAACACATTTTTTGAAATCATCTTTTGTTCTTAAATTTAAGAATCAAATTGATGTAACTTGGCTTTATATATTTGTGCATTTAGTTTGGTAACTACAGTCTTGGATAGAGCTTTTGAGACGAACCCCAAGAAACGTGCCAGGTAGTATGCATGTAATGTCGATCATTTATCCCCGTTTCCCCTTCGAAGTTGGGATGTACACCCTTTAATAACAGAGATATTAACATTGAGCTGAGGGAAGGGGGTGAAAAGTCTAAATATGGTCTGTTGAAGATTGTAGGCCTGTCTGGCCCCTAACTTTATTCTTTTCCAATTTAGTTCCATTCTATTTAATTCTATAGGTTATGGTTCGGGAGCGAGTTCAAAAGCGTATACATGGGCTCGATGGATATGTCAGTGATTGGAGAAGGGGGAAATTTTCCGTAGATCATGCACGTATGTGAATTACTTTGAATTTTTGAAATTATTCCGTCCTTCTTCATTGTAGCGATGGAGGATTAATATGGTTTTATTTAAGTGAAGCTTTTACATGATATTTATGTATTTATTCAAAATGTTACAAATTGCATCGCCAAGCATTTATTTTGTAAAGACTAAAGATCAACTGTCAGAATAATAAAGAATTCAGAGTTTCTAGACTGACTTGTGAAATTGCAGTGCTTCTTTCTATTGCTGAGCATCCTTGAATGCGTGGTAATCAGCTGTGCATAGGTAGTTTTAGTCTTTGAAGTGCAATCAATTAAAATCCATGCTCTCTTTAATTATTGATGTCTTGATATCTTCTGAAGCTATTCTCACCTATCATTCATCACCAAATTGAGCATAACAGGCTCAAGAGAACTTTAAATGGCATGAGCATAAGGCTTCATTGGAATCCCCGCCACGTGAGGGGTGAAACGACAATAGTTGGTGGTCAGAACAAAACAAATCAGGCGCTTTTGCTTTTCTATTGGTTCATTTCGGTCCCACAACTGGGCATCAAACTTAGCCATATTTTGTTCACCACCCTCGTTTTTTACAGTGATGGGTGTTTGATCTTTCAAATCTATGTATAAATATGCCATTGCTTTTCAAAGTAATCTTTGCGATAAAACTTTGGCAATTTCAGGTAACTGGAATGAGTTAGATGAAGAACAACAGATTATCAATAGAATGTCCACTGCCATTAACCCAACAAACGTAAAGATCTTTTCATTTCCCGAGTATAAAGATCCGAAAAAGAAAGATGATATGGTAAGCACTCAAATAGATAAATGCGTTAAATGTTACTTGTTAACTGCTTTAATATACTGGAAGTCGATGGGAATTAAGGATTTAGATTTTGTCTCCATAAATATTTGGCTAAACTTCTTTGATGAACCTATGCACCATCACGGACTTTCTTGCAATAAAGTAATTTTAAAATAAAGATATTTCCAAGAATAATTTATTGTGCCTTTTTCTTGAAATAAGTTTTCAACCGACTTTTACGAAATTTTTGACAATTTTTATGTTTCTGTCATTTCGCTTCCATTTTTTAGGCTGTTGATGCTCTTGGGACGGTTTCAATAACAACAACTGAAGTAAACATAGAAACAAAAGTTCGCTTCTTTGATTTAAAGGTACTGATGGATTATTTTGAAAATTTACATTAAATATCTTGGAAAATATATGCCATAGAGACGATTAAAAGGATGAATAAACAAAGTTGATGTTGATTTAATTCTGTTTTGATTGTTATATGCGAATTCTGTTAAAAAATATAAGACAGTTAAATGAACTTAAAAGTTAATGTGTACTGAAAACTTATTGTTCACATGATGCTTTTCAAATTATAACCTTCTCATTTAGCTTAGTTTTCACTTGACGAGCTAAATTTCGCCGTTTTTGGTAGTTTGTTTGAGATAACTGCTGAAATTTTTCATTTTTATGCTAAACTATCTATCTCATAAACTTACTAACATACAAACCTCTCTTGCTTTATCCTGATAATCAAAATTTCACTTAGTTAATGTTTAAAATAAAATTGGAAACCACCATTGCTAACCTTCTTACTTTACAAACACTTTCAGGTGCCTTCACAGTACAAGGTTCTTGGGTACACAGCCCAGAGCGTGCCTACATCGATATACATCCCAAAGAATTTAGCCAGACCGTTGCGAGATAGCTCGGGTGAAGCGAAATCGGTAAAATTTAGGCTCAGGCTTATTTCTATTTTGGCAATTTGTTCTATTTCGAGTGTTTTTAGTTTTTATCTTTTTGTGCATAAATTTTCTAAGATATACTGTGTTCATCTGTTTTAAATTCAATTGGCTTGCGACAAGGATATTTTTTTCTCAAGTTCCTGGTGACATCAACTTTTCTAGCTTGGATGCAATGAGGTTATATTTGATTTCACATTTTTAATAAAAAGTGCCGTGGAGTGAACTCGGGAGGGGGGAGGGGGGCTCAGCCTATTAGCCCTTTGAAGTAAGTAAATAGTTTGAATGATTCCCTATACCAACAGAGAATGCCTTCAGAACTTTATCGTATTGGCTTATGTCTAGTTATGCATTTAGAACTATGACACTTCATAACTAAATACTTCTTCTTTGATGCTTCAATGCCGTATCTAGCCAAACCTGCTGTTGGTTTCTTATTCTGAACAATTTTGAACTCCTTCGGACTATAGTTATAATTAAAAGCAATGGTCGTAAAATGTTCTTCCTAGAGGTCATGTTTGAAGGATTCAAATTTTTATTGGCGCAAGGAAGAAAGAACTTTGTTTTATCAAAGAATCTTCTTTGTTCTACAGGACACTTTTAGTGAGAAATTTGGGGACAAAGAAACCAGTAGCAATGTTTTGGAAGATGTGATTTTAGAGCAGGAGGATGGAAAGAGCTCAAAAATACAGTCAACGGTTCCTGATCGTCTGGGTATAAGTGCATTCGCCGCTACCAACGACGTCACTGTCGAAGAGTTTCATCTTGAAGCACCCTCTGTCTTATTCAAAGAAAGAGAATACCCTCCTCTCCATATATTTGTGAGTGAAATTCAATTTTTAATTTTATATAATATTATGCTATTTTATATTCTTTAATAATACAGCAATACATTGTATATCATTATATATTTTATGACTACATATAATTATATAATTATATTATTAATTTTTTCCTATTGCGTTATGTTTTTACACATTTCATTATGTTATTACATATCATAATATTTGATCACATTTTGTTACCTTTTATTTTTATTCCATGCTATGTTATAAATTATCATATAATGTCATAATTTTATTATTTAAGATTATGATAAAATAGACTAGAAATGGATTGAGATTAGATTTCAAATATCATATCACGACATAGTCTCTTAACCATGCTATTTCGATTAATTTGTGCTATATTCTTCGTAATGGCCGATTGTTTTTTGTAGAATCCTGAGCCAGGGTTGTTACTGCATGCGCCTTTATTGCGCTATACGGAAGCCAACGACAAAAACAGATTATTACCTGTTCCAACTGGAACTGATAACCGATCCACGATCAAATTACACAAAGAGGTAAAAAATCACCATGTTGTCATAGAAGTTATCTTGTACTTTGTCCAGTAATTTATCTATAGCACAGCCTATGCCTGTGAATTTCGCGGTACATTTTGCAATTATGTACCGCGAAATTATGTACTGCATTTTGCAAGATGGCAATTTTTATTGCAAGGGTATGTCTACTTGCCTCTCCCAACCTCTCCATTCTATACAAAGGTATATAAGTGACCACTGGATTTTTCGTTGCTTTTCAAAATCAGAAATGGCAAAATAACTTTTTGTCGCAATTGTTTAAGGACCATTAATGCCGATAAATATATCAGACATGCCTGTTTTTTCAAAAACTCTCCACAAGAAGCACATCACCAAACTCCAGCAGCATTTCCTTTATCTCCAACTAAACCTCTTCTTGCTAGTCCATTTTTACGCTCAGTTGTCTCAGATAAACGTTCAGCGTTAATGGGAATTTCGTTTCTTCATAGGATGTGATAAGTGGTGCGATGACGTGGAAACGCTTGCCTCTTCAAGGGCTGGTCACGCTGAATAATACCCCGTCTATGTCTGCTGTCTATGTACCGCGATGGTTAGCAAATTTTAATTATGTATATAAAACCTCTTTCCTGCGCTATCAGTATATATCTTGATTTTCTGCTTCATTGAATGAATTCCAGCAATTCAGCCTTATTCCACGTTCTAGTTTTTGTATTATCTGGTAGTGGTACGTATACCACTATCTTCGTGGTATTGATATCTATCGGTTCGACCTGTTCTGCAGTGTTTATTATCCACAAAGCTGTGATCAGAGGTGCGATGGATGAGAAGCTCAGCCCCCCAATATTCAGAGAGATTTTGGCTCCCCCTTTAACAAGCCAATATGAGTTTGGTTGTTGGGATTCCTTTCTTGGCAATGTATACTCACCCTTGATAAAACGTAAATGAGCTATTTCTATTAGCTGTTTAGAGTCGGTGAATAGTTTAATAAATGACTTCATATTCACACCAGGGAACTTGTAACACAAATACAAGTGTATAAGATGCGAGCGTGGGTGTGGTCTTGGGCGTGGCTTCTAGAAGTTCCCTACAGTACAGACACCCTTTCCTAACTCTTTAAGACTGCACCCCTGCATATTTGTTTGTCGATATCTGCAAAAAGATTACAGCAATTAAACTTAAGCTCCAAGTATTGTCCCGTCTTTTTAAAGGCTATGACGAAAACTGAAATTTATCTGGCCTTTCAATTTCATTTGGTTTGTATCGCACAAATTTCCATTTTAAGGTCTGATCCGTTTAATGATAATCTGATGCCGTTGATGACGCCAGATTTGTTAAAGGAGCTCCCAGAAGAAGACGCCTCTATTGAAGAAGAGTAAGTAACAGTAAATACTAATTTCGTTTTGTTCCAGAGCTCTTTAGTATTGAGTTTATACTTTATACATTTGTACATTTTGTATCCCATATTTTATTGAAGCTCTGTGTTCTAACTAAGAACCGTTCCGATCTACACAACAAAGATTTGCATTGTATTTTATATTTTAAGGTTTTTGAAAAAGATTATTTGGAATGCAATATATAGTACAGTTTGATGTGTGAAACAGGCTGGTTATGAGTTTCACATTTTCCTCTTTGCTTAACGGCTTCGAACATTACCGACTGCTTAGCTGAAACTTCCACAATATATGTGGTTTTCCTTATATGGCCTATAGTATATAACATATATGTACGTAGCACGGCTTAGAAGAGAAAGACTTATAAAAAGTTTGTCGTCTCGCTCGCTTGGCTATACATTTACAAATAAATTCAATGTTGAACTTTAAATCTCATCGTCAGGAAAGCTCTCTTAAGTTCCTTAGAATGCTAAGCTACATTATCATCTATTCTGGACGTCTGTTTTGTTTTTGATATTTCATGTCCTTCTTGAATAATTGTTTTTCTAACCTATATCTCCATAAACTGAGCACTGTCGTGGAATTTATCGATAATACTTGGTGAGCTATATAGCAGCTTCGACTGATAAAAAATTTCCACAAAATTGTTACTGTGGTTTACAAATTGATCAACCAGTAATTCAAGAATTCCAATGCGTACTTAACTGGGCAAAATTTTCCAACTTTTCAGGAAATCATGGTTAAAAATGGTTTTTCATTTCTAGCGAAGTCTTAATAGGTTTAAAACATATGCACTCATGCTTTTGCCGCTAAGAAATCGCTCCTTCAGCATCCCTATTCATTTGTATACATCTTCGCATTATCGAAATTAGAATTTGACTATTAATTTTAATCTTACCATTGGAAAAAGACTGTGCATTGTCTGTAAAACAATGTAATGAAAACTGTAAAAGGGAGTTTTAAAAATGATAAATTCATCTTTTCCCTATTTCCATGCATACCGTGATGTTTAGCATATGTTGTTACCTTTCCCTCTTTCTTCGGAACACTTTAATTTAATGTTTCTAACTACTAACTTATCATTTAGTCTTATCTCGTGTGCTTCGTCTTCTCCTGTGCTACTTTCTATAGCTTTTCTACCTCTTCTTCTTCTCTGTCTCCTCTCCATTTCTAACTTTTCTTCTTCTCTGTCTCTTCTCCTGTTCTAACTTTTTTCCTCTCCTCCTGCTCTACCTACTCTTTCTCTTCTCCTGTTCTACCTCTTATTCTTCTGTCTCTTCTCCTGTTCTACCTACTCTTTCTCTTCTCCTGTTCTACCTCTTCTTCTTCTCTGTCTCCTATCCATTTGTAACTTGTCTTCTTCTCTGTTTCCTCTCCTGTTCTACCTCTTCTTCTTCTCTGTCCCTTCTCCTGTTCTACCTCTTCCTCTTTTCTGTCTATTCTTCAGCTCTATCTCTTCTTCTTGCTGTCTATCATCCATACAGCTCTATGTTTATTTTCCTTGTTTTTTCTCAGTGATGAAGAGTCAGAAGAACCGACAATCATTCCATCCATGGACATGGTGCATGCGCAGTTTACTATACCAAACCAAACAGCTACTGAAGGCCATGGAACAAGGTAACCCGTGTTTTGTACTGAATTAGTGCTCTATGATTAGCTGAATTCATGCCGTATGGCTAGCTGAAATACCCTTTTTAGTGATTATGTGATTATTTTCTTTGATTTAATTTTGATTTGATTTGATTTTATTTGATTTTGATTTTGATTTGATTTGATTTGATTTGATTTCATTTTGATTTTCTTTAATATTCAAATTCCACACAATCAACATGATCAAAATAGAGAAAACAAAACAATACACCCTGGGTACCAGAGCCTCAGTAAAAGAGATTACCCACTCTTTCACCGACAAACTTGCTCATTGTGGCTCTTGCACCCAGAGTAAACACAATACAAATAGATGTATTGATGAGAACCAAGATGACGATATGTTAATTTTTGCTAAATGAAATCACTTTGTTTTTGATGATTGTATCAAATTAAGCTTCATTTAGGCATTCACACAGCATTTTGCAAGTGAGGTTTTCATTTCTTTGTCAACAAATATCTCGAGGTAGAGTCTCAGATGTTTAATGGTAGAATGTTCTAGTGTTTCTCTCCCCTTCGCCTCCCCTCCCTCCCCGACCCCCCAAATGGACCCTTAACTAAAACTTAAGGTATATATTTTTTAATATACAGTCCTTTTTAATATCCCATCAATTGTGAAGCGAATTAAGAAAATAGATTGGCAATATTTTAGTTCCGTAAGAGAATTTCTACAACCACAACCGTTCGACTTAAAGCATTCATTTTTATCAATTTCGTGTGTTTTCATTCTGGAAAAAATAGCCTTTCCATGAACTGAGAGGCGAACGCCATCCTCTTTCTACTTCTTCTTGTTTTGAGTGGCTGTTTTCAGCCATTGAAGGTCATACTCGCTGCTGTTGACCTGAGGATTTGCACATAAATTTTTCATGTCAACCGTTGTCAATTGAAATGTAAATGTTCTATGTTTTGTGTGTTATATCTCTCGGTGAAACTTTCTAATTTTCCGTGGAAATTTTAACAGCTATTTTAAGTTGGAGTCACCATGACTGGGCGTTCAAGTTAAATCTTTTTACTTACAAATTCATATTTGCCTGACTTCCATTGTTTCCTTCTAAATTAATTTTTATCATTCATTCTTTTCCTGTTCTTTATTTTGATCAATCTAACCGACTGACTTAACTATATTCCCTCAACTCTCTATTTCCCTTGATCTCTTTACTCCTTTGACGAAGTGGCAAATTAGTTTATTTCATTCCAAAATGTGCTTGATTTTAGAAGCTTTAATTAACTGAGTTCTTTTGGTCTGAAGTATTAAGTTAGTTTTGCGTTTTTATTATTAATATAGACTGCAAAATCTAGACTGATCCCCAATTTTTCAAAAGCCAAATTTCTCTCTTTTTTGAAACATTTCACATCATGTCACTTGCTATATAAAACTACCACTTCAAGTTCTTCCATCGTTTTTGTGAACAATAGATTTCAATCACTGTATAACAAGAACACGTGAGCGAAGATCCCATATAATCTTTATCGAGCTTTTGTTTTTGTTAGAGCTTTTAGTTTGCATACTCCATACTCCTAACAGAAACTTATGTCGAAATTTTTCCTTTGTCACAATACGCATAAGATACTGTTTTGCGCCACGCCTACCACTTTAAGTACACACAGTCTGTCGGATTTACCTATTAAAAACGGTTTGCATTTATGAATTTATTAAACATGGGCTGAACTGCAAGCCGATCTAATTATGGATCAAGATCTGTTTTCTTAGTTGTCAGTAACGTATTTCAGCATCCTTGAAACTATCCGATGGAGATAAATTGAAAGTTTGGTCACATAAGAGACTGAAACAAAAGACTGCATACTATTTTTTAGACTCCTCCCGTGTGTTACTGTATATTTTTCACCATTCAGTACTGTAGCCTAAATTTTAGTTTAAATTTCGCCTTGTTCTAAACACTTTGATTTGACAATCCTCTCTTATTAATGGATGGTTTCCTTGATTTTTTTGCATCATCATTCAACTTTACTTTTGAGAATCTGCAAACATTCTGGTAAAGTCTGAATCTAAGAAACAAATTCATACATTCTAGAGAGGGAACTAGTAACTCGAAATTTAAGAAAATTGTCAATGACTTTTTACTTGACCGTCTTATTCTCATTTTGCAATCTTAAATCGGCCTATTTTTGCTACTATAAGAGTCCAACAGTTTTCTCTTAAATATTACGTTTTTCATGTTTGGTTGGGTCGATTCTTTCCATAAATGGTGCATGAATGCTTCGATCATAAATCTTTTGACGTTGGCTCGCAGCGATTTTTGTGTCCTCTAATCTGCGTCTTTTTTTCGACACTTTCTGCTGCGTCCATGTGATTGCAGCTGCTTTTTTTCTGAAAGAATCCCATTATTAGCTTCGTTATTCAGCTAGATGTCCATTCATGCCCTCAATCATCCCTCGTGATTGGCTCGGTTTCCCCTGTAAGCAGAATTTGGAAATCTCCTAGTTGTGAAATTTCGCTTGCCTAGGCAGGATTATGCTAGCAATTCTGTCTCATTAGATAAGCATTTTACCACCTGTCCTATGCCACATGGTTGACACGCATATCAAACATTTTTACAGAAAATAAAATTGATGCATTCATCTAAATATGAATGAATTCTCTTTGAATCTGTTTCGCTAGCTGTTCCATATTTTCAGGTTAGGCTATAGAGCCTACGGGATAACGAATTTCACATATTTTGACATCATAAGAAGGGCCTCGATCGTGTTTTGTTATGATTTTAACAGCTTACAGTGCCTTGAAACACCGTGCAATTGTCCCTGTATTTTGATATTTTTCATTTATTCCCCCAAATAATACTACTTCCGCCCCATTTCCCCCAATAACAGTGTTGATAGTTTAGATAAATATCAAATAAGCCACATAAAAAACAAAAATCTTTTATGTAGTTGTATTGAAAGCAAACACTGTTTCCAGGATGAGAAGGAAATGACTTCTTCGCTCTTGAAAACCAGCGCTAGTGCTCTAAGAATGTTGGCAGGGATTGTTTGTATCCCTTCAGGTCATTTGAGGATATTTTTATTAAGATACTTGTATTTTCTATAAACTGTAGATTTCAAATAAGAAATATGTCGTTACTCCCTTGGAGGAGATGGAAGCATTCTAGCCTTATCCTGAAAGTTCGGTGTACTTGAAGTCGTAACATTCTGTTTTGCATCATTTCAGCGTTTGTCTTGTTTGTGTGATTTTTTACTTGCAGAACTAGTTGCAGGGCCCGCGTCACGAATTTGAAAGTAGGGGGCCAAGGCTTCTTTCCCCTTTTACTGCAGCTTTAAAACTACTTGCTTCGCAAAAAAGTGAGGGGCCATGGTCATTCCCCCCCCCCCGGCGGGCCCTGTGTTGTTTGTATGTGGTCATCATGAGAAAAACCTTCCAGTATGCTTGTTTATGTCCAAAAAGAAGAATATGCAGAGTTATTTGTGTTATTGTGCATGGTCTATGCAAATATGAAGCATTGATTGTATTCAATTATTGTTAGTTTTGTGCTTTGTGTAACTGACTTATTTCTGCAATGGGCTTCAACATCGTTTTTTGACATTTTCAGCGAGTTATTGTCGGGACGATTGCCAACGACGAACAACCCAATCGGGAAGTTAGGTCCTGTACCAAGGTAAATATTTGCATACATGTAAATGTTACTTATTATGATCTTGCATTTTTCCAAGGGCGAAGCATGTATTTTTTAATTGAGAGAAGGGGGCAATGGTGGCTTAGTGGATCCTGGAGAATCTCAGCTTAGTGACTGACAATATTGAACCTTACAAGATTATTAGAAGCCTCAGGCCCTCGTGCATCCCCTCCAAGTGGCTGTGCCCTGAACAAAAGTGCTGAAATCTGCTTACTTTGTATCATAGAACAACAAAGCAAAAAGAGCTGGACAAGTTCGTGCAGGATAAGAAGGACAGGCTTGGACAAAGAATTAGAATAAACACAGAAAGCCTGAAGTCGTATTTGCGACTTGAGCCAAATTATAAAGACAAAAATGCTTAATATGGATAAGGTCCGTCTCTTTTGTAATGGTTTTATGTATTTCTGCAGCATTTTCCATCAATCATCCAAATTATTTGTATATAACGCAGTCAGTTGAGCATTGTAATTATTGTAATTTCAACGAGACCTTTCTAGTTGTGGTTCTATAAGCAGAACTATATCTTTCTGGTTGAGATACAATTTTGGTACAAGTTATACTTTCTAAAGAAAACTGATGACCTACATTTACCTGCTTTCTGGTTGCTTTAGCACAGAAATAGTGTATTATAATATCCATTTAGCCATTTGTCTCATTTCGCAATTTGATGCCAAATGACTCTGTTCTGCCAAACTGAAGTGTACATTTTACTTGGTTTCAAATAATTTGTAGATTCCACCTTGCTACTAACTACTAAAGCAGCCAGCCCAAATTTGTAGATCCTTTAGGTAAATGCTAGAGGGACTCCGTGTTCCTTAACCATCCAGCAAAAGAATGTGTGTTTTGGTTGGGATATGGGCTTTTTTCGAGAGAAAGAGCTAGGTTTCCAAAAGTAAGTATAGAAAGTATGCATACCAGACATGATCGAGGATGAAACTTCAACCTGACACTATAGAGATTTAAGGCAACATCCCAGCAACAATAAGATAGGTCTGTGCATTGAAATTTAACCAGCTGCTGCTTTCTTAAAGAACGTAAAAAATATAAGCATCAATCTGACAAATTTGTCCAAAATTGTGCCTTTTCCTTAAGATAGGAAGGGCCAGCATCGTCTCTCTATAGGTCTCTAGTAGAATAGGTTGCGATTTTACCTTGTGCGAGGACGCTTTGCTTTAGAACATATGCAAAAATGTTAAGAATTAAACGCCTCCTGTGTTCCACGAGAAAGGCAGCTATGATTGCTAGAAGAAAGTGCTCCTAGTTCTTGGATAAAGCTGAATCTATATGGACGAAATGGGCAAAAACAGGTTGCATATGGCTCTAAATGTGTGTGACCCATTGCTTGAGGTTTTATAAAACATAAATACCTTTTACCTTGGCAATCTTTATTGCCGTTCTATCATTTATACAAAAAATTGAGATTTTCCTGCAAGACCATCAGAAATTTATTGATAAAAATGACGATGTTGGGTGATTAAACATGTAGAAACGTGGAGGCCTGAAGCTTTAGAAACAGACACAATAGATTAGAATTCAAACACAATCGTTGACTTAAAGGCAAAGATGCATGATTATCCTTGACAGCATTCAAGACTATCTCTTACTAGCTGCATGCCTACAAGCATATGATGAAAGCATATTGATTTTGCCCAACCTTAAAATTTACAGTTGTTAGTAAACGATTATTTACATAAAAAAAGAATTAAGTTGACTTAGTCGCTAAAACAATGCCTGAAGTTATAAAGGTTTTATAATACAATGAACAATGATATGCAGTTGAATGTCTCTCACTAGGCAGCTTTTTATGAGCATACTCGAGGCTAAAATCTTAGAGGATAATAACATACCAATTATCTCTACTTGAAACAACATTAAGTACTATGCTTATAGAATACCTAAAAGGATGGAAGCAAGGACCAAAACATCTAATGTCGTCGCCAAATAGCTGTGGTTGCGAGCGTGGCAGTCGGTGGGAAAGAGGAATTATCTAGTCACGTGGGGAAGTGTTATTACTGGTGACTGCTATGGGTGATGACGTCATTGGACAAGAATATAAGTCACATAAGCAATACTAACGAAACTCAAGCAAGGAGGCTAGAATTTGTCTCAAATTCACTGAGTCGGTGAGAATAAAGAAAACGATTTCCCGGATTTATGTGGGTTGTAAAACAGACTGTAAAACCGCCATTTTTAGTTTTCCACTGCTCTGGAGCAGCATAATGTAAGGCCACCTATACTTTAAGGATGTAATCGCTCCAACCCTAAGTCCCTTGATAATTTTGCAAATGTCCATTGGTCCATGCAGTCTTGTAAAAGCAAAATGTCAGATGTACTAACCATGTTTTCAAAGACCAGTTGTTGCAGCCCTGAGGACACCAGAATTTCCTCTTTCTTTGGCCAATGACAAACTGTTTTCAACAATGTAGTCAAGGCCTGTAAGGTCAAGGCTATTTTTATCGCTCCGCTCACCCTCAAAAATGCATTTGTAAAGGCCACCAGCTAAAATTGCTCCTACCGCAGGCCCTGCCCAGTAAATCTAAAAGAAATCCAATAAAATCAAATTTATTCTTGTAGTTATTAAATGTTATTCTTTGTTGAGCAAAATTGAATAAAGTTATGGCGACAACAAATGTGACCAATTCTATTGGCATTCTAATCAAATTGCATTTTGGTCCAATGGTTTCTTAATAAAATGATACACAGTGTAAACTTGATGAAAGAGCGTACACATTTTTCAAGCAATGTGGCAGTTTTCTTAATTTGTTTAGTTTGATTTTTCAATCTACAAGGTCATGTAACAGGGCTTGTGTTTCTAGGAATTCGGCTTATCTGCATAAAAAAGATAAAAACAGTTTTGCTGGTTGCTGATCTATTTATATTAAACCTTTTGGTTTATGGTGTATCAAATTAAATCAGCTGTCATCTTATGCGAAAAAATTCAAAAACCGTATTATACTTACGAATTTTCCGGAAAATAGTGATACTTACCCAGCAAAGAAATATAACACATATACAAAGAAGTATAAAAGATCGTCTTTTGGAAATCTTCCATAATATTAAAGCATTAAGCAATGCGAGTTTCGTTATACGAAAGAGCTTGCCCAGTGATGTTTTGCCGATGGTGTTCCAAGGGCGTTATGATTAATCGATGCGCCCAAGCCAGCGTTGCCTCAGATAACTAACTGATGGTGCCTCTTAAGCACGAATACCTAATTAATATTACTATTTGCCTATTTGCTGGCATTTAACTAAAGCATATTAATATTGTATATTTCGTGATGTACGTATAGGACATACCCAATGATAGTTTGGCCATATTTTCATTACTACCGCCGGTCCTAAAGCTCTTGCTGGGTTGATTCCGCAGCCAGTGTATGGGATCTGCAATAAAACGATTGATTACTTGACGAAAAACAGATGCGAAATCAAACCGGCCAATGGTAGACAAGACCTCCCTAAGTACGTGAGAAACATCCAGAAGATATTTGAAACTTTTTGCTAATCAAACTTCACAGATTTCCCTAGCATTCAACAACAGAATTCAAGAAATGTATTACAGCAGATATCCAATAGACATTTGCAAAAACGCAAGTCAGTATCGTAACAGCGTTATTACGATAGGCCAACGTAAAGGCGATATAGTATGAGCATCGTAAATACTATGTATCAACGAAAAAATGATAACAACCGTAAACGCGATGTAGCAACGCTGTTGAGCATTATACGGAGAAGCAGTAACATAGAAACACAGAAACTGATGATCTTTTCTTTAACTAGAAAGGCTGTTAATTTTGTTTGATCAAACCACAGTGAGCTGATTTGACGATTTCGATAATGGCACTTACCCCAATTAGATGGCACACAGTGACAGATAATCCGATAGACAAGGCAGGGCCAAATGTCTTGTCCTCCCTGTCTTGATCTGTTGCAGCAAGCACAGTCATCACCAAGAGAAAGGTAAGAACGCCCTCCAAAGCAAAGCCTTGGTATCTTGTCACTCCGGGACCAAGGAACACTGTGCCAAGCAGACCTCGCTTGCTTTCTGGCGATATTGCATAACATACAGCAGCTCCAGTGATGGCTATGGAAATAATTTAGGACGACTTAGCAAAGATTGATGATTTAATAAATCTTTGAAGGGTGGAATCAAATTTGAACTCAAATTTTTGCAAAACTGACATTAAATGGGAATAGATAGAAGCTGGCTACATTTGTCTGTGCAAGAACAGTTGGACAAATGGCATTTTCTCACCCTCCTATGTTAGTTCTGATAAAAATGAGAGAAGTGACCTTATACTTGTGCTTCTCTATGGAAATGATCTTCTAGCAACATGGACTATGTTGGTAAACAATTCGACTTGATATTTCTTCAGATGTAACTATAGCTTCTGTTGAAAATAACCTTCAACAACAAAGTCTGTCACTTGCTTTTCAAGCTCAACTCAACACAAATAGAGGAAAAATTCCTTGCTGAACCTTGCGGCTACCTCGAGGTGAAGTGCGGCTACATCGAGTCTTATCTGTTTTTGATTGCAGCATTGTAACATTATGGATGCATTTACTTCAATGCCATTTTGACATAATTGAAGTCTTGGTATTTAATTCTTTTCAAACCTGAAAATAACACTGGCATGGATTCAACTGTTTTGCAAGATAAAGAATACCGTTCTTTTGGCGAGAGGAGACAAAAACAGCAGAAACTCTGGTAAAATCTGGCCAATAAAACAACTCTTCGATCTATGCCTTTTTTCCTGCAGATAAACGAAATGATAGTTGCTATGAAACAACACGTTAATTTGCATATAATTTGAATTTTTTGCTTTTTAATAGATACTTTTTAACGAAAGGCTGAGTGACAGATTAACAGTAAACTTTCCTTATAACCTCGTTTAATTTCAGTATGAAGAATTTCACGACCCCTGTGAATTGTTTACCCGCCGGGCCGGTTTTACAACACAAGCGGCGGCTTTGCAACCCTCCATAACTAATTGCAGATGATGAACCCAGAAAGCATGGACGTCATTAAGAGAACGAAAAACTTATGTCAGCTTACGCCGACAAAGTGAAAGAATTAAGCGGAACAGCAACAATAGAAATTTAAGAAAGGGCAATCGTGTCCCTTCAATGATATAGAAGCGCTCGTCGCTTATATATCATTGTGACCCTTCCCTTGATTCGATATGAATCGGAAAATTTACCTCAAAAATCTGGTAACTTCTGAAAAATGAAAAGCATAGAACTGTTGCTCCAGCATCGGAAAATAAACTGTTCTTTTTCTTGAGCCCAAAAGTGTTTACACTTTCAAACTATTAGAACTATAATGGTGCAACGCTATGTTGAGGGGAACAAACAATCAAAGTAAGAAACTCTTTAGTTTTTTTAGTTTAGTACTAACATGTTTAAAGATATTGGCCCTCATTCAACGATTTAATGAAATAGTGTCAAACATTTTATTTTTTGCATTAATCACTGATATTTCTTGCACTTACCTCCTGCACATTGGACGACCATGTAGAAGATCATGCGAATAGCTGAAATTCTTCGTGAAACAAAGAGGCCAATAGAAACTGCCGGATTAATGTTTGCACCACTTGTTGGACCAAAAATCTGTGCCAGAACTGCAATACTGAGGCCGAAGCACAAGGCGATCTGTGTGATGCTCGGTGAAGTATTCCAAGTGAGCGTGACACCACAGTTTACGAAGAGGAAAATTAAGGTGGCAAGAAATTCAGCCAATACGGCTCGCCAGAATGCAAGCTTTTTAATCTCCATTTTAACTCAACCGTCAATTCTTGCGATTATTTGTTCAAATTCAGCTAGCAGGTAGATATTCCGTTTGAATGAAATATAGAAGAAGCAAATCACTATCCACCGTCTATATTATCTATCATGGAATAAAATTGCTTTACCGCCGTAGCCTTGGGATAAGTTTATGAAGTAACCCTTGGTTTGTGAAACCGATAGCGTTTGATCACCGAAGGTTCTGCGCCAGAATTAGAGCCTGTCTTTTTTGAAGCAGCCTTTAGCAACGATGGTCTTGTGCTCGATTTAGGATAACTTAGGAGTTAACGGATGTGAGGATCTCCTGGCTAAATAATCGCTTCTTCTCTACGAATAGAATTCTGATTTTTCTCCCTCCTTAAAGATCTGCAATGACCTGCAATGAAAAAAACTAGCTTTAGGTTTTGCGAATTCTGATAAGTGGATACATGTGGCTAGCAAAGGTTGAGTAAAATATATAGAACGCCACCAAAGCCATGGCTCTACCCTCAAAGGAAATGAAACCACACAAGTATGCATATTCAATCTGAAAAACATTAAACCGTTTTAGAATGAAATAAATGATTACAGTATCCTACCAGTGGAGAGTTCAGTCAACTACCGTAATTTGTGCAAAGAAATGTTAATTCATTTCTCCAAACACTGGGAACATATAAGAAAATCTGCAATTCGGTAAATGCCAGTAGCTTTTTCGTTGAAGAGTACCATCATCTGAAAAATTTAGCGGCCACTGAGAGAAAAGACTATCTATTCCTGCAAGGACGATCCGAAACAAGCAACGCGAATGCAGAAAAGTTATCGTGTGTTCCTGCAATGCGATAGAGAGTTTGTTGCAGGTGTTACAACAGCCGATAGCGACAACAAATTGCGCCTAGCAACAACCAATGCATGATTTCAGTCAATAAACGCCTTTTGCAGGGACTTGTCACAAAACCGAATCATCTTCATCGAAATTTGTTTTCTTATGTTTTCATTGAAATGCATTCTAACTTATCTGATATTGTGGTTGTATTAATTAGTTATTTTCGTTAAAAATGATTTTATGATGTCAGCATCATTTGGTCAACCGCATTTCAAGGGATCATTCTAATTATCAAGATACATATAAACTACATTTAAGATACTAAAAGGGGGACTGAGGACTGATCCAGGGGGTTTAGAGCGGATCAGGTTGAGATTTGCACATCACGTTCATGGCACAGTCATGGCGAAGGGGGGAAATATTGCTCTAGAGATTTCTCCAACATCTAAGAATATATCTCAGGGCCTCCGATGAAGAGGGGCCGGGGGGCCATTGCCCCCTCACTTTTTTGCAAAACAATAGAGCTCTTTTGAAAAACCTTTGCTGTGATTGCTATATTTTCTCTTGGCCCCTCCACTTTCCAACCTGCATCGGAGTCCATGTTTCTTAATCTGAATGACAACCGAAACTGTTATAGATATTTTAAATGAAAGGATTGATATTTGAACGCACGCCTTCATAAGGTTTTACTTTATTTATTTTAAGAATTTTTGCTAGGTTCTTAAAGTATTTGGAGGGGGGGGGGTGACACACAAATATCCTAAACACCCATACCTTTGATTGCCGCTACCCTTCTAAAGATGTGCATTGATTGTTTGGATAAATTTTTTACCTGATGTTCCATGGTTATATTTCACAGTTTTAATATCAGATACGATAAAAAAAGAAGCTATGCTCCTAACTAAAGACTTTTATGCGTGAAATTTGATAAAACAGGGTCTGCGCCACCGATTCTAAATGAAAGGGCTATCAATGTGAAGAAAGAGTCCAATTACAGTCCCCTTCCCTCAGCTCCCGTTGTGTTTAAATTTTTTGCTAATGCTGTTACACTGGTTCAAAGTATTTATATCAATCTTTTGGCATATCTATATAAAAAGTTTGCCCTGATTCAACTTTTTACCAGCAGAAACGTAGGGAGGGCCATGGTCCCCCTGTCCCCCTCCTGTGGCATGGCAAATACCACACTAGAAAAATCAGCAAAAAGGTGTTTTTCGACTTTGTTTCGTAATGAAATACTAAAGTAGCCATGAATCCAGACAACCTTTTAGATGGATTTTACACTAGTAGCTTTTGTTTTCATTTACCATATTCTAAATTTTAAAGACCACTGGTACAAAAATTAACAATAAAATAACAACACAAATAGTTAGGCCCTGCACTGGATACCAAAAAGCCACCCGCATAGATTCCTGCCTTCGCTATTTTTCTCCAGAAAATAAAGCAAAACAACAAAAGCGTTTTGTTACACAGCCAAGTGCTGCGGGAGGTGTCTATTCCCTACGGAGTTTTGGACTCTGGTTTGCTCTTAAAACCAGTTTTCCTTCATTTTAACTCGCCATTCCGGTTTGATGGGACCTGAAAGGTCTAAATAGTTGCCTCTGTAAATTCAATTTTAAGTTATGCATTTGAATATCATAGTCTTTTCATATTGCTTTCAATAAGAAGTACTGCCAACAAATTTTTAAACAAAGTTTCAAAATGTGACCTTCAAAGGATTAAATGATAATAATGATAATATAAACTGCATATTCATTCTTACTAACAATATAGTTAAATGTTACATTGAGAGAAAAAAAAATACTACATCAAATAATGAACTGAAAACAAAGACCAGGAAACATTTAGGTCAGGCATTCTTCATTTCCATTTTGTTTAAATAATACTGCAGAATGGAGAAACATATAGCGATTTGAATAGAAACTTCGCAGAATGAAATTTTATCTTAAAATTTCTAATGCTATGTGACTACCCTATTTACAGGGGGTGTAGGGGGCTGTAATTCTTCACGAATCCCTTAATTCTTCCCAATCCCGCACCCCCCCCCAATTCTTCACGAATTCGTCGGTAAATCTTCAGTTTGTCTACAAAACCGTTAGTTTGTCGGTAAAATCAGCTTTAAGTAGGTGAAATAATACCTTTTTTTCTACTCAATCTATGTCTTCGTCAGGGGCGAAACTACTGGGGGGGTATGGGGGGGTGCTGCACCCCCCCAATCTTCAAAAAAGCAGATTTTGTCGGGCAAATTTATGACTGCTAGTGTATCTGTCGGGCAAATCTAGAAGTTTTCTTTAGGTCGCACTTTTATTGCTACTTTTTGCCCTAGGTTGGTTTTTTAATTCATGGTCTTTTCCCCCATCTTTTTTTCAATCTCCTCCCAGTTGGGAAAACAGAAACGAGGCAAGGAACAGCAACATATATACATTTCTGTCTTTCGTCCGTCCACTGATCAGCGCTTTCGTCTGGAGCTCAACGCGCACATGTTTATCTTCGCCTCGAGATGAAGTCTGAAGTATTGATCGACAGCAAAAGTATAGACAGGAAGTAAAGTGTGTTTGATGCGAGAAGGAAATGAACACTGTGTATACCCCTCCCCCCTACTTTTTGCAAAACAAGTGAGCTTTTTTCAAAATCTTTTGTTGTGATTTCTAAATTTTCTCTTGAAAAGCCCCCATCCCCCCCCACCCTCAACGTTCCATCCTGCCTCGGAGCCCATAGAACACTGACAGTTTTAGAAGCATCATGAATCAAAGCATGAAGGATATACCATCTCGGAATACGTTGTTGAGAAAATCAATCAATATTTTCTTTTCCAAATGTATGAAACTTTCATTCATGAAATCAAACATGTTTTAAAAATTTAGGTCAGGACATTTGAAGAAGACATCATTTGGGTTTTTAAACATTTCATAACATCAACAGGAACATAATAAAACTATTTACAATAAACATGATCAAACGTGAACACCTTTTCATTACAACG